GACCACGTCGGCAACCGCCGTGCACGCATTGATGTTGCTCACAAGCTGCGGCTTCCCCTGCGACGTGTCCGTACCTTCCTTCAACAGAATGATTTGCGGTTGCTGCTCGCGAAATCGGGCGAACACAACGACGTCGAATCAGCATATAGACATAGATATGCGCGAACGAGAAAAAGATAGAGAGAGAGAAAGAAAGCGACATGGAACAGAACACAGAGAGGAGAACATACCATCATCGCAGCCATTGTAGATGCTCGAGGAGGGAGAGAAATGGATGAGAGAGAAAGCTAGGGTTTTTGGTTTTGGGTTTGATCTGAGAAAGAGTGGAGATAGTTTTCAGGCGCTTTCTGCACTCTCCTGCCCCAAAGGCAACTGTGTTTTTTTAATTAAATCACATAAATCCATCCACACATTAATTTGTAGTAAAATTAATACATAAAACTATTTTTCAAATTTTAACAATTTCCAAAAATATTCATAAAAAATTTTAAAATTATAACAAACGAAATGACGATTTTGATTGCATTCCATTTGTTGTGGTGTGATGTCCCGTTTAGAACTCGCTTTACAGAACTTTAGTTTTTTTGGGGGAATTTCAATTTGTATTTGATTATTTTTTTTTTTGTTTTGATTGAAAGGATAAAAGAACACAAAATTGCTTAATTTCCTTTTTTTAGTTCATGGAATTCAACATGGTATGAATAACTCAACATTGCATAGTTTAATCGGTAAGATTGGGAACAAAACTCCTTTTAATTTTGGATTTGGTCTTCACTCGGAGAAAAATATTTACATAGATTTCTCCGTTCATTTGGAAAATATAATCGGACCAAAATATAGTATTAGTAAATTGGCATTCATATAATGTCGAATATGTAATGATGGTAACCAAACAAATGATTTTTTTTTATGAAGTTAAATGGGAATTGCAATGACTCCGACCAACAGAAGAAGTGTACGAAGGACCAATCCTGCAAAGATTTGTACGGTCGAACTTCCGTTTTTGTTGCCGCCTCCTTCTGATGATGTCTGAGAATCTGAAAAACAAAATAGATTTTTAAATTCATTATTTTTTTAAAAAAAATTCTCGTATTCGAAGTTCTTTTTATTAAAACTAATATGGTCACTTTAAAAGGTGATTCAATAAATTAAAAGATTACTCAAACAATAGGATAAATTTGTTTGGATTTGTTTAAGAATAAACAGACGGTATATTAGCATTTTTTTTTTGTAATTTAGTGAGAATAAATAAATGCACCAAATGTTTTTACTTCATGGATCCACCGATCAAATGTTCTCCTAATTGTTCAAACCGAAATTTGAACCAAGGGATCAGATAGATTATTGAAATATTTCGTTTGAATGATGATGTCGGAAAATACATACCTGAGGATGAACCTTCACTTCCTGCCGGAGAATCCGCCGGAAAACCCAACACTGTAATCAAAGGAAGCGCGACAATTATCCAATTATTTCGCCGTAAAAATTGGAAATATTTGAATGTTGTATGCATACGTCGAAAGATAACCCATGAATTAAGAAATTGAGGGGTGAAAAGAAATATTTAAGAAACTGAGGGGGTGAAAAGGAAAACCTCTAAAGTTAGAAAGAGAAGATAAAAAAGAGTTTGGGGAAATAGTTGTATGCGGAGAAGCGCACCATAGACTCGTGTATTAGCCGTTCGATCGATTATCAGATACAGATCCAACGGTCAGGAGAAAATAATTCAAAATATAGCATACCTGAGCACAGGCTCGGCGACGGAGGAGCAACGCCGCAAACAGAGGGAAGCTCCATAGCCCTCTGTTTGTCGAGCTTCACTCCGAAACGCGCCGACGCTCCACCGCCGAGCAGGTTACATACACACTCCGGCGAGCTCTCGACCATTCCGGCGAGCTCCGGACAACACGCGCCGTCGGGCTTCGTCTCGTTGCTTCCAACCTGAACATACGAGAGGCAGTCCGACACGTTCAGCATCCTCCTCAAGCAGTTGGCAGGCGGTGAAGGCCCGTCGGCGGCAGCGGATGAGGGTTCCGGTGCAGGCGGAGACTGAGCCCACGCGCCGCCGTAGGAGAGTGAGAGAAGGAGGATGAGGACGGGGACAATGTCGGCGGTGGCCATGAGGTGAATGCGATCGGATCTGAGATGGGAGATGAAAGTTTGGGGTTTTGGGGGGGTGTGGATGAATGATTCGTAATTGTAGGGACAGTGACGTAAAAGTATAAAACAAATGGGAACTCTTTCACTGTTTGTGAAAAGGGAGAGACACAGTGTATACACAATCATATATATACATTCATAAATATGCATATGGATAGATAAACACACATACATATATACACATACATTCATTGGTATATATACAATATATATGTGTATATTCTATCATATATACCTATGTGTGTGTATATATTTGTTGTATGTATATGTTCAGCTATCCTCCTTAATCTAAAAATAATTTTATGTAATTTATTAAAAAGGTAAAGAAAAAAAAACTTCGTCTAAAGAAAAATACATTTAAAACCTCAATTACCCGTTAATCCAAATAAATCTTCATCTAAGAAAATACAAAACAAATATAATCTGTTGTGTATATATATACCACATTCATCTTTTTGTAACAACTCACACACCATATATATATATCATTCCTGAATTATGAGATATCATTCTTGCAGTCGATGAAGATTGCAATAAATTCCTGAAACTGTGTTATGAGAATCAGATACCAAACAGAGATCCAAAGCCATTTTCCAGTCTCCGGATGCAAAAGATGATCCCAATTCTATCAAAAACTTTTTGTCAGTAAAATTAGGGCTTACAGATCCAAATTGTAAAATTATCATTATTTTCTGTACCCGTCAAATGTCACCGACATCTCTCTCTCTCTCTCTTCGCACACGGAAGAGGAGTGGAAAACCACACTCTCGGACTCACATGTCTTCGAACCCGAAGTAAAAAACCGTATTCTCTCTCTCTCTCTCTCTCTCTCTCTCTCCAGTGTTGCAGATCATCGCAAGATGGGATCTGTGTCCCTCAAGATCGGCGAGGGCACCGCCAGATTCCGGCGATCGACCGTCTGCTCCTCCGCCGTCAACCTTCTCATGCTCTTCTCCGTCGTCACGACCAACCTCTTCGCCCTCTACGCCTTCTCCTCCCACTCCCAATCCCACGCGCCGTCTCACCTCCTCAACTCCAACAACATCTCCCTTGTCTCTCAGCATCTCTCTCTCATCCTCCGCGAGATCGATTCTTCGCAACGCAAGCTTGCCCAGATGGAGAAACAGCTCCTGGGTTACGAATCCATCGATCTCTCCCGACCCAACATTGCCCAAGAGCTGAAATTGTTCCTACAGCATCATCAGCTTCCTTTGGGCAAAGATTCTCGAACTGGGATCACGGAAATGGTTGCTTCCGTCGGGCATTCATGCCTAAAGTCCTCAGATTTGCTGTCTCAGTATATGGCGTACAAGGTGTTCGATAGATGTCCTGATGATTGGAGCCTTGCCGAGAAGCTGATTCTCCGTGGCTGCGAGCCGTTGCCGCGTCGCCGATGCTTGGCTAAGACTGTGCATAAGTCGGATCTGAGGCATTTCCCTGATTCCTTGTGGAGACCTGTGAGTAATAAGAGTGTTAACTGGAGTGGCATTGGTTGCAAGAGCTTTGATTGCTTAAAGGGCAAGAAATTGGGCTCAGACTGTGCCGGTTGCTTTGATTTGTCTGGTAGCTATGAGAAAGATAGGTTTGTTAAGGTTAGGGGGAAGAATGATTTCTTGATAGATGATGTTTTGGGTCTAGGCGGTGGAAAAATTCGAATCGGGTTCGATATCAGTGGCGGATCTGGGACTTTTGCCGCAAGAATGGCTGAGAAGAATGTCACGATTATCACCAACTCGTTGAACGCCGGTGCCCCCTTTAGTGAGTTCATAGCTGCAAGAGGGCTTTTCCCATTGTTCTTAAGCTTGGATCACAGATTTCCTTTCTATGACAATGTGTTTGATCTTATTCATGCCTCGAGTGGGTTGGATGTCGGGGGGAAGCCAGAGAAGTTGGAGTTCTTGATGTTTGACCTTGACCGGATCTTGAAACCTGGTGGATTGTTCTGGTTGGACAACTTCTACTGCGCAAGTGACGAGAAGAAGAAGGATCTAACGCATTTAATCGAGAGGTTTGGGTATAAAAAGCTAAAATGGGTCGTAGGAGAGAAAGTCGATGCAGCTGGTTCGGGCAAATCCAAGGTGTATCTCTCAGCGGTTTTGCAAAAGCCAACAAGAATTTAACAAAGGCAGGGCCTTTTGATGAAAAAAGAAAAAGGACAAAGGTAATATTACTCTTACAGCTCCATAAACGAAGATTTTGATTGCTCATAGCTCGTATTGATTGGAGCCTCAATGCTTCCATGATGTTTATGTCAAAGAAAATAACCGTTATCGATTATTTATTTGTCAGGGCGGTAGAAGAATTGTTAGACATGTCCTGTGAAATTAGGGGGGTTGCGTTCTCTTTCTTATGTTTACTTCCATGATCATAAATGTACCAAATTACGGCAGGTTTTCAAATTTGTAGAGAACTCCACTGTCTTCTGCTCCAAATTCTATCGCATGCTTTACTTCTTGAAGTGCTCAAGTGAGTCTTCCATGGATCATCCTGTAGGAAGAAAAACCATTCCAAGGGTTTATCCCCGGGGAATTCCGGATATCGTTATATCAGGTCAGATAATCACGTATTCAGATAGGTAAAATTTCGACCGAGAGGATCACGGGTTGGAATCCTAGAAAAAATGTCCGTGGTATATCTTTTGATGCTTGTACTGGTTGTTAGGGTCTCTCTAGTTATATGCATGTATAAGTTACAATACCAAAATCGACATTGGAAATCAATCTCCATGTGCTCAAGACAAAAAAAGCAGCTTTACAGAGACAGATCCCCCAATTTTACAGTGTAGACAAATTCCTCCAAAGTCTAATATCCCCCCACTGCTGCAGCAAACAAACCCTCTTTCCGTCACTAAAACATAAGGGGAGAATACACACTAAGAACAGAAAGAGAACCAAAATGGCATTTTGGAGGGAGCTTACACTGTCTTCCTGTATTCTCATTTTCCCTTTGCCGATATTTGGGCGGTGCCCCGTAGCAGATGCTCGTATAATTTCCCGTCTCGGACAAGATTAACTTATGATAGCTTCTGAACCTCTTCTCTCTACAAGGTCCTGTAATCAATAACAGTGACCTCTTCCTCGGGCACATCTAGATCTTGGTAGCTGCTCATGAGTTTTGCATTGTGACATGAAAACGTCAGAACCTCACTAAAGCGCATTCATGTCCTAGTATAGTTCATAAATATAGGTGCAGTAAGAGAACAGTTTCAGAATAAACAAAAGGTGGAGCTCCGTATCTGTGGCAACTTTTATGCATGAATTCATCGACAGTTTATAAAATGCACGCCACGCACCATGATGAACGTTCGACGAATCACTAACATCTAGATCGAACTTTTAGCATAATGAGTAGTTAGTTACTACCTGCGTAACCGTCTAGGGTCCTGTCTGAACGATGGTTGCAAAAGAAAAGGGGCCGGTCCACCCACTGGAGGTCCAGATCTTCCACCTCTACCGCTACCTTCAAGTGGGGGAGGAGGGCCACTTTGGTCTCTGAACATCTGCATTGCAACTTCTGGTGGTGCGGGGACAAATGGCCCAAGGGGGCTGTCAAAAAAATGCCAAACAACGATATGATTAATAAATATATTGACCTTTTTCAGTCTACAGGTCAAGAAGTTTTAGACCTACCCAGCACCAGGAACAGGCATCAGTACTGGTGGTGGAGGAATGTCAGAGGAGAAGGGTCCGCCAAAAGCATCATATCCAGCTTCATCGGGATTTCCTCCATCAGGAGCATCACCATCATCCGGCCGATGATTGTCTGATTGATCAAATCTGTCGTTACCATTTGCCTGCCCTTCCCGCTCTCTGCGTCCCCGGTCATCCCTCAGTCTGCTTTCTATACCCGGTTTGCGTCTAAAAGGTCTGTCCCTCTGTCAAATGGAAAGTCTATCTGAGTTAGAAAAGTTAAAATAAAATTATCTCAGAAAACGATTTTGACAACCACTCGGGGTGATGCTTTGTGCACAGCAAATCCATGAATATTTCAAATAAAATCCCGAGATGTCTAAGAGTGGATGCAGAAGGAGCTAATGTAGTGAAGTGTACCTGTTGCTGCATCACGGGTTGTCCACCCGGAGCATTGGGATCACTGCAGAAAGTACACAAAATTTTCATTTAGAATCCATCCACAAGGAAAGAGGAGGATATCAGAGAGATTACCATACATACTTCATATAATTCTGGAAATACAACTCATCCCGCACTTTGGCAGTCAGCTCCATCACAAGTTCAGGGTGTTTCAGTTTGAGATGTTTATGCACAAAGTCAGCTGCATGAAACAGCTTCGTGCAGCCCTTGGCTCCACAACCATATTTCCAACCATACTTCTCATCCCTGATCTTTCGAACATATGGATCTAAAACTTCAACAGCAGCAGCATCTATTTTCTCTTTGGCAGCCATAACTTCCATAGGATCTTGACCTTTCAGCCTCTCCTGCCAATGTGAGTCGAGTTTCTTTTCCCACTCATCCCCGTTTACATCAGAACCTTTTCCTTCTGCTCTCACGTGCCTCAAACCCTTAGCTTCATTCGTTTCATTCATTCCATAATAATCCACACCATGAACACGCCAAAGATAAGTTACAAGAGTATCAAGCAATTCTACACCCTCAAGTCCTTTCACAGAGGTTAACCCCCTTATGATTATAACTGGACCACTGGAGCCACTGTGTAACTTATCTCTACCCGATTTCTCATTATCTGAGCCAGATAAAACATTTTCCACTATTCCTTTTTCAGAATCTAACTTGCGCACAAGCACTTGTGCTTGTTCAATGTCAACTAGGACTCTTCTTTGATCAGAACTGACAGAGTGAGCTTTGGGCGCGGCTGAAAGAAGATCAGTTTCTTTAGCAGGTCCTCTAGCATGTCTTCTCCTTTTACTGCCACCATCTGCCTCATCCTCCGAGTTTGGTTCACTTGTCTGCCCAGATTTATTCAATGCTGTCACTCCAGGACCTCTGCAACAGATCGAAGGGAAACCATTAGACTCAGTTTTAACAACATAAACATGAATGTAAGTTAACGAAAAGGCAATGATCTTACAAGTCAAGCTTCCCACTTTGCAAATCAAGTAAGAAATCCTTCGCCACCTTCCGTGCAAGTTCATTCCTCCTTACAATTTCCACGAGGTATATTCAGAACCATATCGTAGAAAAGGATAAATAAGAAGAAAACCAATAAGGGAACAAGAGTACAAGTATTACTGGATAATACTAGTTTGATACAACACAGCCACAGGCGCTAAGTGTGACTCTAACCGATATAAATCACTCTGGAACCCACCTTTCGATAACAGAGAGCAGATTTGTCGGATGATATTTGTCTTTCAACCTGCACTCATTACATACACAAACATATTAACAGGTAGGCTCGCAGAATTTCCAAGAAGAAAGGGAAAAAAGAGGAAACAGTTAGCAAAAGCACCATTCTTCTTCTTTGTGAGCATCAAAGAAGACACGTTTTTGAGTTGTGATAAACTCAGACTTATATTCTTGATATCTGCATCAAAGAAGCAAAAAAATCACCATTGATTCAAAAGCTTGAAGACAGAGGGTCCGAACTCCAAGGAACCAAAGTTATCTACAACAATACCTGTGTTCGGCCTCGGATGGCAGCACATCATCTTCCAACTCCTGAATAAACTGTTTGTATGACATTAAGCCTTCCCTGGGCAAAAGTCATAAGCCATAATTATTTGTTAAATGCAACTCAACAGAAGTAGCAGCAAAAGAAAGTCCCCAGAAGCATAAACATTGGAAAAATCTCACTTTAGCAGCAAAAGAAAGTTCTCAATCTACAGAATTTTTTTCAAACAAAAAGAATAGACTTCTTGTCAAAAACAGGAACTCTACCAGAATAGCTACTGACCAATAGAATTGTCAAAAAACTCACTTTAGCTTTCAGATTGCATAGATTCACAACAGGATGTTCTGACAGAATTACCATATAAACTGATCAACTGTATGCCAACACTTCATTTTAACATTCCAGTCCTCATAACATCAGCATTTTTACAAGCTAGTAATTCCATTTCTTCCAACATGTAAAACCTCCCTACAAAGGATATATTTCACTTTTTTCATGTATTGTTGCAGAGATGTCAGATTAGAGAAAAGAACAATTATAAGACATATATAATCGTCTCTTTGTTAGGCCTCCAATAGCACAACGAAACAAAGATGAGGCAGGGACCAAAGTAAAGGGAAAACAAACACATTTAGCAAACATTACTGAACCCTAACCTTGCACTTCCACTGTTAGAAGCATCACCGTAACCTCCAGGGCCTCCATTCCAGTCTGTTGTGATTGAATTGAATAGACACAAAACTTCAGATAAATATCAGAGATTATATAATTTATATTGATTCAACTAATGGACTTCCAATTCACGGCTCCAAATGTTTTTATCTCATTGCAGAGAGAGCAACAATCAAGCTTTGGTCAATAAAGGCTTGTAAACTCCACTCAAACTCAGCTAGGGTTTTACAAGATCGTCCAAGAATAGAGATGTTTCAACAAATCTTATAAGACAAAATAACAGATAACTTGTGATCGAGTCTAGCTGAATCTTTCTGACAAGCACCTTAAACACATAAGCAATGGAGGTCAAACCTTGATAGCGACCCATATATCGGCCATGGGGCCTATCATCGGGGTAGCCCGGCCTCCCACCCATTTCACGGTTGTATCCTCCTCCATAGTCATATCCAAACCTGTCACAACAGAAGAAAAAATTGGAATGCTGATTAGAAAACCCAAATAATTTAAAAGGAATAAAAAACTAAAAAAGGAATGGAAATAACAATGGTATAACAATAGAGGGGAAAAAATCTGTGACAATCATAAAATCTGAATGAAAAAAGGAGAGAAAAGAAATCTTTCAGCTAACCACACTTTTAAATGCAATTAAGCAACCTTGTTCAAGAACAAGATCAGAATTCTAATTGATATAGACAGACAACTGCGGCTGGGAAGCAAGGAAAAATTCAATAGTAGATCAGTAGAACAGATAACCAATACACATAACACGGCAATTAATCTGATCATTCTTGCCATTCTATTTTCTGCTTAATCTTTTTCGTCATTTCTGTAGAACTTCCACCCACTAAAACTCAAACCTCGAGTCAAAATTATCCTTATTTACTTCAGAAATTATATGACAGGCATAGAAAAACTTGCATTTCAGACCAAACCATCAAGAACCCTCCAAAAGGAGAAGAAATGCCCAGTACTTTGAAATACGCTGTGTAAAAAGATACAAATTCACCTTCTGTCCGGCGGCCCATAGCCACCGCGAGGACTACCCCGGCGACCATCATGCCCGTTATCGTCCCTCCTGCGCTTATAAGGCGGAGACCGGCGCGGAGGAGGTGAGTACCGTCGGTCTCGGTAAGGCGGCGGACTCAAGCTCGGCCGCCTCTTATACTCCCTCCGCGGCGGCGGAAGCGGCGAACGCTCACGGTCCCTGTCACGCTCGTAGTAATCTCCGACGCCATGGCGATTCGGCGGTGGGCGGTCGATGTCCCTGTCGTTATGCCGTTCGTGAGAATCTCTCTCGCGGAGGCGAGCCGGCTGCTGGTCCTGCTGCGACGACGGCTGAGAAGAAGACGCCGGAGGAGAAGGCGGCGGAGAAGAGGTGGACTTCTCCGGAGGTTGACGGTCGACGGATTCGGTAGGATCGCCGGCAACATCGGCCATTGGAGAACACGAACGGAACCCTAGATGGAATTGGAAAGCTTTCTCGAATCTTTCTTCCCCCCCTTTTTTGTTCTGTTACTCGTCTCTGAGGTTTCCCTTTTTCTGGAAAAGAAGCTAAACTGGAGTGGAGAAATCGAAAAAACCCGAAATGGGTATTAATGAATTAACCCTTTGATTCCGGGTCGGGTTCTCTCAAATTGGGCCTAATAAAGGCCCAAAATATAAATTATTTCAAAAATTAAATGGGCCCATTGTAACCCTCTGATTCCGGATCAAGGGAGTTATTAAAAATTAACTGGGGTCAAAATATAAATTGTCTCAAGAAACACGTATATGAAACCCTAAATTGAGTAAGCTTCACCAAATCCTAATCTTATCTGGTATGTAATGTGATCCCTTTTCCATAAAGGAAACATGATTCTGCGTGGAGTAGTGGCTCTTCATGCAGAAGGCTACGTGCATTGCGACATAAAGCCCGCCAACGTTCTCGCGTTTCCATCCAAGGCGGCGGGAGAGACATGCGAGCTGAAGTTTTTCGATTTCTTGCATGCACAAGGCTACGGAGTCGGACGGGGTCGACGTGCTCCGGAACGGCCGAGTATATGCCGCCCGAGTCGATAGGACCCAAGCCTCGGATCTTGCCCGCATCTTGCTCGCTATGGACATATGGTCACTAGGTTGCGTGGTTCTTGAGAAGTCACACTTTTTCCAATTTTATTGTAAACAATGGATCATTTTGGACATAGTTCCTATATAGAGATTTGAGTTTTCTCAATTATGTATACCTGCATATTTAATTATATTTTTATTATTTATATTATTGGATATATATATATATATATATAATGGATTTGACTTTCATTCGCAAGTTCATATTGTTCTCAATAACAAAAAATGTCAAGAACAAAACCCAATAATACCGTAAAAACTGCAACCAAACAGCCATTGTACTATGTCTTTTCTTTTCTTTTCTTTAAAGAAAAGAAAACACAAAAGTATTTTTTATCGCCAAAGACCCACGTCGTGACTGCACTTCGTCGACACAATCCTCGACTTTCTTGTCAGATTATCCACCGTTAAATCACAGTTTACTTTAACGTTGACCGTTCCCAACTTAACGGAACCCACTTCAATCCCCACAGGAACTCTGATACTCAGTTTAAACGGCACCGTTTTCTTGCCCTGCCAGTCTATCATTTCCTTCCGCATAGACCTCATCAGCTGTATCTTCTCTCCCGTTACCGCCGTCTTAAACACCGTCACGTTTTTCGCCGGTTGGTAAAACGCCGGTAACTTTCCGTTACAGAGATCGAGATCGTTGTAGTAAACGTCGACGGAGCTTCCTTTCTCGTAGTAAATCCCGATTTTTCCGTTACCGTTTTGTGATCTGAAGGTAACGTCAAATCTCGGCGAGATCGGGGACGGTGACGTCACGTTGAAGCCTGAGATCGAGATCCCTTCGACGGAATACCGCGGCATTTCGGGACGGTAGACGAGGTAGAGTACGGAGGCGGAGATCCCGGCGACGACGGTGAGAATGAGAATTCCAGCGACGAAGGAGCAGAAACAGCAGCGGCAGCGACTGCGATTCGGTTTCTTCCGGGAGAGATATTGGAGGCGATGAGCGTTCTCCGGCGGTGGAACGCGGTAGATCTGATCCTTGGGGACTTGTATAACGAAAGTTCCCGGGGGAGGAGTAGGTTTTCTCGGGAATTCGCCGGAGCTGAATTGGCCGGAAAACTGGTCCGAGGCGAGGCTCTCAGGCGGTGAATCGGCAGGATGGATTCGCTCCGCCATGTCGGAGAATAAGAGCTCAAACAGTAACTGCAAAATCAGAAATTAGTGTTTATAAAAAAAAAATTGAAATCTGATTTTACAAAAAAAAAAAAAAAAAATCAGTGAACGGAATCTGATAGAAGCGGTTATGCGGAGAAGCATTTATATGATAGCCCGGAAACTGAGCTGGCAATGCCGCGTGGACAAAGGGTTTTAAAAGGAAGCTGCAATTGTAGGGCCCACTTGAAATCCAGCGTTTTGTTTTTAAAAAAAAATTTTAAAAAAAAGAAAAAGACAGCCGTAAATGGAGACGTGATTGCATGAATCTGTCCAAACCAAAAGTGTATTCCGTGGGAAACCAATTTTTCTTATTGTAATGAATTATTAATTATTATGTTGATAATGATGTTGGAAATTGAACTTTGTTATTTAAGTTACAATAAATTAACAAATCATCGAGAATACAAAGAATTAAGGCATGCTATACAAAAGTGTGTGATTTTATTCATTTATAATATTTTTAAATCATTAATTTGGACAGATTTATATACACAGCAGCCTTGCAACGAAAAAGGAAAAAATGTATACATGCATTGAAAAAAAAAATGAATTGGTAATCTAGATACAAGTGCTTGCATATGAACTTATTAAGTACAATAAATTCGGAGATCATTAGATCCAAATTTCTTGCAACAAATTATTTTCAATATATAGTAGGATGAATATGCGAATTTCCTTCCGAATTCATATTTTCAAAACCGTGGGCCGCCCGGTTATAAATAAATCTTGATAAAAACCTATATATTCAGTTGGAATGTAACGGGACAATTGGAATACAACGTATCAAATATAAATATGATGTCAAATAAATTACTATAAAATGATTATATGCTTATTATTTTTGCAGAAAATCATAATAATAGTGAGAGAATAAATGTTACCTTGGAAGAAAACGCCGTTTGTTTTGTTCCCCGCTCATGACAACGCACATTCATAAACACTAGCATATAATAATAAAATAAGAAAATACAATCCAATATTATACATAGAGAATACCATATTAATTACACATCACAATCGTAATGTTAATACAAAGGTTAAAAATTGGTTAAAACCTGAGCTGAAATGACATTTTGATCCGAATATTCACATCTCATACCTCCCCGGACTGGAAAACATGCAAGTCCATCAAGGCTTTGTAATAACCCTTTTCAATCTCCTCATCTTTAACCCCGCGTAGAACGAGGGTCTCGATGATGAAATCCTCCCAATCCACATCACAACCCTCTCCCATCTTCCTCTTCTTCCCTCCATCCGTCTCGACATCGGTATCTGTGTCCGGACGAGGATGTCTTATCCGGTCGATATGCAACTTGGCCGCCTTTATTTTTTCTCTTCGTCTTTCCACTGCCTTGCAACCGTTAATGTACGAAGGAGGCAGAGCCTCCAACCCCACATTTTTCTCCAACGCGTCCTTGAGCAAAAGCCGCTGGCTCATTTCTGATTTCCCTTTCCACCAATCATGATCATGAGAGTAATCCATCTCCAAACCCCTTCTCTTCGGCGGCCTATTGCTACGTTGACTTCGTTCCCCAGCAAGAACTTCATCCTTGAACTTATTATACATCATAGCTAACCGCTCCACCGATATCTTACGGTCTTTGGAGTTATTCGAATGCGGCAGTTCGTTCCGACTTTCCCCTCCTACCTCCAAATTTTGCGATACATCATCTTGATCGGTAACACGCCTAGTTTCTTTGCTTAGATTGTCCCTTACTATATCCTCCAACGAGAATGGGCTTTTCTGTAATGGAATAGAAGAAGAAGAAGAAGTATAATCCATGTCCCCGCCATGAACCAACTCGTCACCCCCTTTTCCCTCACGAGTCTTTATCATAGACTTGGCCTCCATGTATCCAATTATCGACCCGGCGTGTTTCACAACATTCTTCATATTAACATCTTTCCCCCACGGCAAACCCTCTTGAGCAACTTTGACAAGCTTCTCCAATAGCTCCCTGTAGCGCCTTTTACAAGTGCTCAACACAACCTCAGCTTCCTTTGCCAAATCCTCAATCCTTATTTTCACACCATTCACTTCTGCAACAATCGCCAAAACAGCCACAACTAGAGGCAGTGGCCTCCTTCCGGTCGACAAGAACCACTTGAGAGAACAATTCATCAGAAAAACACCTTGCTCCGTAATTTTCTCCTTCTTTTCCCTATCAACTCCGGTTAGCCTTACATTATTCACCACCCTCATGAACAATCCCACAAGATCAAATTCTGGTAACTCCAATCGTAAATGCTCCACAACACGCTTGATCATGCTTCCCAACTCATACAAATCACAACCAACTGCAGCCGCTACTTCATTCATAGGCAAAACATTCTTTGATTCTGTTCTCATCACAACATAACTACATGCACCGACCAAAACCTCCAACCAACTGCCCATCCCAAATTCTCCTTCGGTGATGTCTTTGATCCAATCCTTGATCTTATTGCATTTATCAGACACATTTAACCTCAATGTGATGTCTTCGATTACTTTGTTAGCTTCAAAGATTTTTTTATCTTTATAAGCAAGAACAGATCCTGTGCCGATGTATCCAACCCGGATATATGTACCTTGGGGCCCATTTAGGCCACCTAGTTGTGCATCATAGTTGTCGAACTCTTGTATTGTCCCACATTGAGAACAGATGATGTCCCCTGTATCTTTTTCCGGAACTAGGTCACGGCTCTTGCATCTCTTGCAGGACATAGCTGGAAGTAGTGGTACCTAAACCAAAAAATGTCACAACGACAGCAGATAGAAAAAATGAAGGCGACGCATATTAGAAAAACAAAGCTTCATTGCTGCATATCTCCAACCCCAAGAATGGATCCAAAGGACCCCTAACAAACCAAAATAATTAAATGAGTATTAGTTCTACCGTAGCTCGGAATTTTTTGACTAGCACACTCTGCCACTAGGAATGTGCATCATATTCAACCAAAGATCATGAAAAACAGAATCCAACATGCTGTACAAGATACAGATATATTTTTCCAAGATCTAATACAATGTAATTTGACCAAATGCTTCAATTTCCCAACAATTGATCAATAAAAACTAGTAAACCAAATCCATGAACTGATAGCAGACTAAAACATAGAACTGATGAATACAGAGATAGACCCGATTGCGGGCATCAGTGAATACATGTTTGAAACTAAATCATTAAACTGCAGCGACTCTAAAAGCAACAAACTTACGGAGACTCAAACATGAATTCCAAGCATCAAGGACAAACCTGCAGACCAGAGGACACAAAGCAAATCTCTACAGACATCAAAATCAACGAAGTGGTGCGCCTCACGGAAATAGATACGAGAGACGAACAGATCTACGAGAGACAAAGACTAAGACGACAGATACACGAGGGACGAGATACATAGACGAAATATACACGAGCACGAACCTGGGAGAGATGAGACCGCGCCGAAGAGAGAGAAACGAATCGTGCCGGACAAAGAGAATAGGTCGACGGGAACGGAGCAGCGGAGATGCAGGTAGTGGACTCTGAGAGCGTGTGATCGACAGGCCAGCGGCTAGGGTTTTTCGATTTCACCGAGTCACAGCGGGACAGGGTCTGGAACAAATATGGGGGTAGAACAACGCCGCCTATAAATACCTTTCTAAAAATTAGAAAACCGAACCGAACCAATATTGGATTAACCGATTTTAAACGGTGAGATTGAGATCCAACAATGGGAGCGACAAATTAAGTGAGCCTATATTATGGAAATTTCTAAAATTAAAATAATAAAAAGGATAATAATTTTCAAAATTTAAAAGGGTGGGAAAAAAATAAACTAATAAAATATTTAAGTGGGTGGATGAATCTGGTCAGCATTGGCTTCCAAAAGGGCACATCACATGGGCTGCCTCGCATTAAATGAGGACGCGTTTCATACAAAGCGACCACCACGACATTGCCTTGCCTTCTTCCTAGGGCTGCGTACGGACGGATACCGGGTATTTTAAAACATCTTTATCTCGATCTCAATCTCGTCGTCGGGTTTTTTATGTCTTATCTCAGTCTCTATCTCACAAGGTCCGGATACCCGAGATCCGGATATCCGAGATACGAGATCGGATAAAACAAAATTAATGCTCTAATATTTCAATGAACGGATCCAATGGTATTTTTTTGCTGAGGCCTGAAGGATCGGAACTCTAAAAAATATAACATGTTTAGATAAACTCACACTTCGGTTTTTGAGTTAAGTCACGATCTTAGGAAGATGATGATAAAGAGGTTGATGCCATTAGACCATGTGACTGGTCCAGTTTCAGACATTTCAGTGTCTGGGTTTCGATCCCTTTGACGAAATCATACGGATTGGTAAGAACCTGTAACAAGGAGAACACCACTTAAATCAGTGGTACAGAGGCGGTGAAGACAGAAATTCAAGCGACGAGGGAGAAGCTCGTACCGAGAATATAGATCAAGACAGAGACGCCGAAGACAGAAGCGGAGCAAGGCAGAGACGATGGAGACGGAGGCAGTCGAACCGAGGGAGAGAAAGAGAACGAAGACGACCGAGAAAAGGAGGCTGAACAGAGACAGAGACGGCGAAGACAAAGGCGGATCAAGGCAAAGACGATGGAGACGGAGGCAGTCGAACCGAGGGAGAGAAAGAGAACGGCGAAGACGGAGAAAAGGAGGCGGACAAACAGAGAGCACGACGGCGATGGAGCTCAGAGCCTCAGGCGACGAGAGTGATGGAGATTGGAGGCGGCAATCGAAAAGAGAGAGGCGCAACAAATTGAGAGCGAGAGAGACTGAGAGAGTTAGGTTAGGGAGGGTTAGGGTTAGGATTAGGTATTTTTGTAAATATATAAAAATAAAGGGGTATTTTTGTAATTGTTTTTATTTTCCGCGGTATGCAGATATATCGAAACCTGAACCTGAAACCCGAGTTTCGGATTTCGTGAGATAAAAACCCGATCTATATATCGTTATCTCATAAAACCATACAGGCCGGTTACGCGCGAGACCGGATACCCGGAATCCTAAGCTGGACTTCATAAACCAGATGAAAATGTGGTAGGGAAATAATTCGGTTTTGCTTCAACTCCCAGGGAATTTCATACAGCGCAAGTTTACTTGAATTAGGTAAAACGGAAAACTTACAGTGAATATTGATCCCAAGGTAATTTCCCAGTTCAGTAAATCAGGGAAACAACATAAGGGGGCCTATAGATTGTGGGTAACACGCTGTTTCAGAGACAACTACAAACAAGAGCCATAATGTTACATCATCACATGAAAAAAAGTAAGAAGACAAATACAGAGACCAGAAGAAGAAGATGTGTTCGTAGAGAGAAGTACACAGATAAACTATACATACATTATGTGCTTCAAAACCATATAGATACTTCTTGCTGCTGCTGCTTACGCATACCGTCGATTCCTGCTTGCAGATCATCTCGGTAATCAAATGAAGCCAGATCGAATGGCATAGACTCAAACACTAACTTAACTCCGCCACTGTTACTATTCCCCTGCAAAAACATGTTCTTCCCGTTGTTATTGCTAGTGTTGTCCTTGTTGGGGATGTGCAAGTCTTCAAAGAAGCTTCCTTCGATGGTCCTTCCTTCGCCGTGGTTGAAGTGTTGTTGTTGATGATGATTCTGGGGTTTTAACTGAAAATTTATGTTCTCATTGTCCACCATTGATGCAGTTTGGTTGCTGCTCTGGACGTTTCTGTCATACATGGACATGAGCTCGCTGATCATCTTCTGCCCGTCTTCCGGAACTCCAAAGCCTGAAAGGTCATAGGGTCGAACTGAATTAACGGCGGGGACTGCTGGCCTCGGCTGAGTAAAGGGTTGCGTTGCAACAACCGGCTTTGCTTCACCGACATGAAACTTGGATGCTCCATATGCTATGGAACTCCCTCGGTATGGACACACCAGTTGGTGGTTGTCCCTGGAAGTCCTGTCTTGGAAAGCCAGGTTGTTCTGGCTGTGAGGACACTGAAGGTTCTCACAGATGAAGATTCTCCTGTCCAGCATCGAGTTCAGATCACTGCTCGGTTTCCTCTTTCTCATGAAGTCTAAGTTTTCTCCAGCCATTTCTTCCTTGACCGGGAAATGTGGTTGGCCAATATGCATATTAAGCATTCCAAAGTTTGGAGGATTGATCACTTTATCCGGGTTGTGATCTTCCACATCATAAATGGGCTCCTTGTCGACACCTTCTACGTCATACTCGCTGCAGTCATTAATGAGAAGTGAACCGCTTCCTCCAGACGAGGATAGAGGAAGAGAGGACTCGGGATAAAGTTCTCGTGCAAGGGCCTCTTCTTGGTTCACGATGGCAAGCCAAGTGGCACTCTCTTTCGCCGTCATCTTATCCTGCAAGCATTTGGATTGCCTCACAAGCTTACGGATCTTAGCAATGTCGGGCGACATATGCTTGATAACTGCAGTCAAGACACCGACTTTCCATGCCTTCTTCAAATCATGAGGTTTCTTGTATGGTGGAGGGCCTTGATCTCTTAGCAAGCCGAGTTGAGGCCACCACTCTTCCATCCCAGTTGGCCACCATGGTGGAGGAACTCCCTTCTCCAGCGGAAACCGCCTCTGTGGAGGATCACAGTGTTGCATCAGAGCAGATAACAGCGATCCAAGAGTTGTATCCTGAAGTTCTTGCAACGTATATGGTGTCGGCCCAAGTGGGTTGTTGCCCTCGTTGCTCCCAGGGATATTATTATCAGCTTGGTACTTGGCTATGGCAGCAGGGCCATTCCTATCAAACCTCACCTTATCCTTCCACCATTCTCGGAGATTATCGGAGGCGCCCGTCACAGGCTTTCCCTTCTCGGGGATGATCCCGTAGACAAAACCTTGAGCTTTACACACTTCCATCATCTTCAGCATATACTTCAGGATCCCATCTTGGGCCCTCGACATCTTCTTCCTCCTCGCTTGCTCCTGTGACTGCCTCTGCTTAGCAGGATCGACTCCTTCCTTACCCTTGCTCTGTTCCTTGAGACGCTTCAGACGCAATTTGTCCCTCCACACCCTCCTCTCGAGCTCATCGACATCGATTTCTTCGTCGGTATAATCATCCTCCACAACTGACTCGGGCTCGGCTTGTGGTGGAGGACAAATATCCATTTCTCCAAAAGATGCGGAGGAGAAGTCCATGCCACCACACATACCCATCTCGTTGAACATCATCATCTTTCAGACACTTCTCTTCAGACCCCCGTAGATCGATTGACTTTCTTTAACATGAGAAAAACCATATACACAGAGAACAGAGATCAGTATGTTTCCTCATCAGACAAAACCAAACAACTCTGTGAGTATCAAACTGTACAGCAAAACAATCATGAGCTGCAAACACTGAGAAACTAGCAAGTAAACAAGGTAAATATATCAGATCATATACTTACCCATGACAGTTCCTGAAAAAAATATATCAGATCACATGAAATGATAACCCATGACAAGGTTATCCCCAGATTGAAAAACAAATCAGATTTTCAACTTGGTGAAAAAAAAATTGATTTTTGAACAAAGTAGGGGAAAAAAGAACAGACCCATCGAAATTAAGAACGAAGCTAAAGAACCAAACTTGTTTGTTTTGCTTACTCAAACCAAGAAATTTTTTAAAAAAAAGGAAGAGAAAACGAACAACGATGTTTGGCCCAATCAGACGCGTGAATCAAAATTATAATCCGAAACTATGAGCGAATATCCAGATTGCAAAATTAACAATACCCCAAACGATCATCGATCAAACAAAACCCCATCAGAGATCAAGAAATCTAAGAGTTGTGTCATCATCAACATCAGATTGATCAAACTATGCATAAAATCCCAAAACGGAGAGTGTTACCTGGAAAAACAAGTAAAAAGAGTTGAAAAAAAAAAGAGAGCCCCGAAAAGGAGTCTCCGCCTCCCTGACTCTCTCCTGTCTGCGAGGAATCTTATTGAGGAAAAAAAAACAAGAGGAAAGGAAACCCTAATTCTTCAGAGAAGAAGAAAAGTCGATCTAAAGTCACATGTGAAGAGAAAGCGACTTTTGATAATGGGTTTTGGCTTTTGGGGTTCACATAGAGAGAGAGAGAGAGAGAGAGAGAGAGAGAGAGAGAGATGCCCTTCTACTAATGCGTCTTTCACTTAAAACGTTTTAACTTCATGTAGCCGACGGTGGAAAGAATAAAAAAAATATACGAGCCGACATCAAAATACATGTGTATACATTTATTTTATTTTTTTATTTTATTTTTCATATATAGATGTACGTACAATCGTGTATATGTCATATGTGTATATATATATTGGCGGATGGAGCCATGAGGATCGCTTACGTCTTCTACCGCATCTTCTTACAAATTTGCTCCATAACGTTTTAAGTATACAAATTAATTTAATTTTCTTTTGATAGAATTACTCGCTCACTTTAGTCATTGTTACGTCTCTTTCTAAGTCATATATGTATGTAGAATAATATTAAGTACATTGACTTAACCAAAAATAAAAAAAATGGAAAAAAAAAACGAAAAATTCATGACCCATAATGTCTTCTTTCATAAATGAAAAATGTAATCAGAAAAAAAAAACCCCCCAAAAAAAGAGAGTAAGAACAAAAAAAAATACTGCATCCATCGAATAAGCTGAAACTAATATATCATATGATGGAAAATTTTACAATGTCAATTAATGTATATGTACAAGTTATTAACGCTAGGGAAATTCCTAATACTGTTCAAGAGTTTTATTACAAGACAAGGTATATGTACAAGTTATTTAACATATGATCATTACATAATTAGATTTTTCCATATATATATATATATAACTTACTTCAGATTTCAGAACCATATCGATGCGTCTTGCTGCTTCATCATACCCTCCTTCGTCCCTCCGTTTCTGTCATCGAGTGATGCCAGATCGAACGGCGTAGAATCACCGAACACGAACTCGAACCCTTTGCTCAAGTCTTCGAAGAAGCTCCCTTCGTTGTCATTGAAATGGTGCTGCTCTTGACGGTTCAGAGCCTTTGCCTGAACCCCCATGCTCTGATTTTCCGCCATTGGAGGAGCTTGGTTGCTCTGGACGCTTCTGTCGTACATAGCCATGAGCTCAGTGATCGTCTTCTGCCCATCTTCTGGGACCCCGAAGCCCGTAAGGTCGGTGGGTTGGAATGAGTTCACGGGCCGGACTGCTGGATGCGGCTGAGTAAAGGGTCGTGGTAAAACTGCTGGCTTTATTTCACTGACATGAAACTCAGATGCTCCATAACCTAAACAACTGTCTCGGTATGGGCACACAAGTCGGTGGTTGTCCCTCAAACTCCTGTCTTGAAACCCGAGATGGATTTCGAAATGGGGACACAGAGAATTTTCACAAGCGAAGATTCTTCTGTTCATCACCGTGTTTAGATCAACATCGGGTTTCCTCTTTCCCACGAGTTCCATGCTTCCAGCCGTTAGTTCTTCCTTAACCGGGAACTGCTGTTGGACCATGTCCGTATTAGCCATCCCAAAGTATGCAGGACTGACCACTTTCTCTGGTTTGAGCTCTTCCACATCATAACTGGCCTCCTTGTCGACAACTTCAACATCATACTCGTTACAATCATTGATGAAAAGAGACCCAATTCCTCCAGATGAGGATAGAGAAAGACAGGACTCGGGATAAAGTTCCCGTGCAAGGGCCTCTTCTTGGTTCACGATGGCGAGCCAAGTAGCACTCTCTTTGGCCGTCATCTTATCCTGCAAGCATTTGGATTGCCTCACAAGCTTACGGATTTTAGCAATGTCGGGCGACATATGCTTGATAACCACAGCCAAGACACCGACTTTCCATGCCTTCTTCAAATCATGAGGCTTCTTGTATGGTGGAGGGCCTTGATCTTTTGGCAAACCGAGATGAGGCCACCAGTCCTCCTTTCCAGTAGGCCACCATGGTGGAGGAACTCCCTTCTCCAATGGGAATCGCCTCTGTGGAGGATCACAGTGTTGCATCAGAGCGGATAGCAGCGATCCAAGAGTTGTATCCTGAAGTTCCTGCAACGTATATGGTGTCGGCCCAATTGGATTGCTACCACCGTTACTCCCGGGGATATTATTCTCGACCTGGTACTTGGCTATAGCAGCCGGACCGTTCCTATCAAACCTCACCTTATCCTTCCACCACTCTCGGAGATTATCAGAGGCGCCCGTCACAGGCTTTCCCTTCTCGAGGATGATCCCGTAGACAAAGCCTTGAGCTTTACACACTTCCATCATCTTCAGCATATACTTCAGGATCCCGTCTTGCGCCCTCGACATCTTCTTCCTCCTCGATTGCTCTTGCGGCTGCCTCCTCTGCTTGAAAGAATCGACTCCTTCCTTACTACGGCTCTGCTCCTTGAGACGCTTCAGACGCAATTTGTCCCTCCACACCCTCCTCTCGAGCTCATCGACATCGACCTCTTCGTCGGTATAGTTATCGTCAACGATCAGCTCTGGTCCAGATTGTGGTGCCGAGGAGAAGAAATCCATGTTCCCACACATACCCATCTCGTTGAACATCATCATCATTTCCACACCGCTTTTCTTCACTGAAACGGGATCGAAACAAGCTATGAGAATTGAAAAAAAACCCAGAAGCAGAAACCTGGGTTTTTAATCTGTAATCATCAAAGTATGTAGGATAGGAGGCCAATAGAGGAATTCGTAACGATCAGGGTAAATACATCATATACCATATCAAACAGCAATCGCATGAAACGCTGATGACTTCCCGAGTATCAAATCATTCTCAGACATGGATTCGGTCACTAAATGACGAATGAGATCATCATGAGAGAAAATGAACTAAAGATTGTCAAATTCTGCGGCGAATCTAATACCACAGGGAAAACAAATCTGACTTCAATCATGTTATTATTACAATTACACACATCTTTCAAAAGGGTAAAGGAACACAGAGAGTCGAACCCATGAAAATTCTCTAGAGAATCAAGGTAAACAGTAAAATCAAATTTGATCGGTCAGACAAACGAAACTCACATCACATGATAAAGAAAAGAGATGAACAAAAACCGGGAAATCAAACAGAAAAGCTTCATCCAGTCAAAACCCAGGATTAAGTTTATTGTTCTCGTTTCCGAGTAATACCCAGATCGTAAAATCAGTCGAACCAAAAACCCATCAAAGATCAAAGAATTCTAACCATGATTGTCACCATCATCATCAAACTCAGCATCATCACACCAAATAGGTAAGATGCACCATGAAAAGCAAAGACGATGAGTATTACCGGCAAAAAGGAAAAAGAAAACCCGAAAATGGGTCTTCGCCTCCTTGACTCTCCTCTCTGCAAGAGGAACTTTTCGGGGAAAAAAACCAAAACCCAAATTTCACCAAACTCCTAAAAGATAGCAGAAGAAAGAGGAGGATGAGGAAGAAGATGAGAATAAAAAAGCACACGAGAAAGAAGCTTTTGTCTTTTGGGATTTCTGAGTTTGTGGAATCTGCAGGGGAGAGAGAGAGAGAGAGAGAGAGAGAGAGGTTTGCTGGAGCTTGCAAGATTTTGTTATTGCAAGGCCGGGTTTTATCTTTCTTTTATACTTTTTTTATATTTACAAAAATGGAATTTTATAATATTCGACCATATTGGGGATGAAATTTAATGCGATCATTTACTTTTATATTAAAATTTAAAATAATGGAAAAATAGAAATAAAGAGCTTTTGGACGTTTCCGTTCGTGGTAGTATATATTTTGCTATTTATATATTTACGCGGAAACATTAATTATAACAGCTTTAATATCAATGGATATTAATATTTGATTGCCATATAATATATGCATTGACTGGTGAACATGGTTCTTGGGAGAACCCGAAAAAGCCTTTTTTTTTTAAATCTATTTCACTTATTTTTTAAAAATCTTTTAATTCAAATTCATTCTGAAAATATCAATCATTATTTTGAATACAAAATATATACTACAACATCATTCGTCCGAATTTAGAATAAAATATATAGAAAATAAAAGTGTTTTTATTTATTTATTTACACGTTAAAAATATTATTGATAACTAAACTGAATCTACAAATTAATTACACTAATTTATTTCAAAATAGAATTTAGATTTAATTAAAAAAAAGAATTCCAATATGACCTGGTGGACATATAGATTCAACGGCACCATTTGGACCCTCAAGGAAATTACATGTTTGGTTCTTAAAAATTACATTAAATCTAGGATTGTTAATTCTACTCATTATTTTAAAAGTTATTGTAATTATCGAATTTTAAAGATACATTCTATGATTTTAAAATATAGAAAATTTACAAAATAAATTTTTATTTCACGTAATGATAAAACATGTTATACCATATTGTAGAAATTTCCTATGGAATGATGCGGTTTAGCTTGTTATTAAATAATAAAAGGATATTAAAACAAAATCATTTTATATATCGGGAAAAATTGTATTTTCTGTATTATAATGCGGGACCCAATTGGCCATCAAGCAAATCAACGACTGGGAGCTTTTCTCATCTTTTATCCTCTGATAAAAAAAACGATCAAATCCGTTCCTCGCCAAACCTCCGGCGTCCGCCATGGCCGTCTTCGCTGAAGCTTCTATATTTTCCATTCGCTCCTCTGAAGATCAATTTCTCTAGTTTCATATTCTCGTTTTTATCACCCCCGCCCATTTCTCACACAGATTCTCTGTCTTTTTCCCGCTTTTTTTTTTCTCTCCTCCGACTTCGTTTCCCAGGTCCTGTTTCCTCTGGTTTTCATGCGTCTCTGGATACTCTATGTACGGAAGGTATGAGCAGACTCTTCAATTGCTTCTGGAATTGTATAAAATTTTATCTTTACTTTTTTCATTTTCATACGAATCCATGAGTTATGGTCATTAGGTTTCTCTGTATTGTATTATCTATCGAGATTTAGGAGCTTTAGGGGAGAAATTCATGTTGAAACTCATAATCATCCATGTTTCGTCGATTGAAATTTTTGGGAATTTGGGCACTATCTGAAGAAATGATCAAATGCTTCGCCTTGCGGTGTTGTATGCTGTTCTGGACAGCGAAGTCGAAAGTTTTGATGCGGTGGAAGAGCTCCTGTAAGGAAAATTCACGAAATTTACATTTTTTTAAAGTGAAATCGTGGGAAACGAATTGTTTTATGCTGGTTTTGAGATTCTTGGATATTGGTGTAGTATAACAGGAATTGTTCCAATAAAAACTGTTTTCCTGAGGTTTGATTCTTGTATATGTTCGTCTTTTGCTATACAACCAGTGGCTAGTTTTCGGTAGTACAAAAAAGCTTTGGTGAATGGGGATTCAAACGATTGAGATGAGGGAGAAGTCATTGCATAATCTCACTCTTGGTGAGGTGGAAAAGCATTTCGGCAACTCAGGGAAGCCATTAGGCAGCATGAGCCTCGACGAACTTCTTGAAAAAGTATGGGCTGCTGAAGCAAGAAACTCCACAGGAACAGATCCTCTAAACATGGCTTTGTTGTGGAGTGGGAAAACTGTTGATCAGGTATGGAAGGAGATCCGACAGAATGAGAGGAATAGATATGATGGGGATAGTGGTGTCAAAGTTGAAGAAAGAGAACCAGTCCTTGGAGAAGTGACTTTGGAGGTTTTCTTGAAACATGCACAATCCTTGAACCCGACTGTGGAGATAGATTCTTCTGTCGATCCTACAACTCCCGGGAGTTTGAGACAGCAGTTAAGCTTGTCTTCATCGCCATCTGTCAATGTGTTTTCTGGTACAGCATCTTCAGGCCGGAGAAGGGATATGGAACCTATCGAGAAGAGTATTGAGAGGAAGCTGAGAAGAAAGATTAAGAATCGGGAATCAGCTGCACGTTCACGAGCTAGAAAACAGGTTTTGATTCTTCCTTATTTTCTTTGGGAATAGTTTCAATTGTTCAATTCCTGTTTCTATATGTTTTGAGATGCTTGTTTCGTGTCTAACAGGCATACCACAATGAGCTTGTTACCAAGATCTCCCGTTTAGAAGAAGAGAACATGAAGCTCAAGAAAGAGAAGGTGCCTCTAAAATTTTATGCTCTTTTTGGTTTTTAGATGATCACGCCTTATGATTTAGTTCATATTCTTGACAGATGAGTTGTGTGTATGCATACAGCACATATAGCTATCTTCGTAGAGCATAACAAATGATATTTTAATGCAAAGGCCTGCTATCTCACCCTTTTAGATTTAAATGTACAGAAACCCACGAGCCAAAATTTTGAATTTTCTAGCATTGTTGAGACTGCAAAGCCCCAAATAAACTTGGGATTAAGGCGATGTTGATGCTGTTGACGTTGATGTTGAGAGAGCAAAGGGGGATGACCCCTTTCACTGATTTTTTAAGATAATGGAGCTATCAAATTTAGAGCACTTACTTGTATACATGTTTTTAGACATTTGAAGTCCGGGTCTCTTACAATAGTCTTGATTCGATTCTTGATTCCCTTCACTGGAGATATGGTTTCTAGAACAAGCATGTCATATCAGTCGCCATCTTTTTATCCAGTTGCTTGTTGATGAGCTTCCCTCCCTGTGTGTTTGTGCATTATATCATTACATCCAGCAAAGTTTCCTATCAACCTAGGAAAGGATCACGTTTCTCAATGTCAAGTCAGTGATGCAATTTAGGTGGATCAGTATCATATTTATCAATCTGAGTGTTCCATCAGCATAATGTCCATAGCTCCTAATGCACATGGAGATATCGGACTGCCTGCCTGATGGTAATATGATTTGCTATGCACTCGAGTAGCTATTTGTGCAATTTGCTTGGCCTGTGAGAAAGTAAGGGGAAAGCCCAGTTTCTGAACTCCTGCACATTCTCAAGAAAAACATTCTCTCTTTTTTTGCAAAGCTTGAGCTTGTATCGGGTTCTCTTCCTGCAGGAATTCGACCTGATGTTTCCCGGAGTGGAATATTCATCGGAGCCCAAATACCAGCTCCGGAGAACGAGTTCAGGTTCTTTCTGATAATCCCCTCCTCTCTTAGAGAAAGTTTTGCAAAGTAAAAAAAGACTAGGATTTTTAGGACCCTTTCTTCTTCTTGTTTCTATGTTATTTGGGTTTGGGTTTACAAGTAAGTATATACATTGGATGATTCTTCAACGTTATGTTGAAATCTACACAGCAAGCAGATAGAATGTGCCCTTCTTGGTTTAAGAGTAGACAAGTGACCCCATACTGTTTAGAGACATAACATAAGCATCAACCAAAATGCTGTTTACACAGAGTCTTGAACCATTTTGACCCATAATGTTTCGCATATTCTTGATTTCATCGGACCAAATATTTTCGGGTTTTTTCATTGCATTATTTTTCGGTTGTTAAAAAACGTGAAATGAATTTTATTTTAACAAAAAAAAAGGATAAAGAATTATTCGTAGCGTTAGATAGGGGAAAGAAAAGGTAATATTATTACAAGTGGAAAACAGAAAAAGATAAAGGCTCTATGCATAAATAGTTAAAGGTTTTGTGATTCCGGGAATTACTTTTTTTTTTTTTTGCTTTAACTCTGTCCTTTATGGCTTTGGTTGGTTCGGAAAAAGAATTAAAAAAAAATGACATTCTCGTAAGGATATTTTCACGTACATTAGACAACTAAATAAGTCTTAAAACTGTCGATTTAAAATCAATTTTAATTTGTGAATTGTTCTAAAACTTAGTTATAATTTTATTAAAATCAAATTAACTTAAAATATTAAATAAAAGTAAAAATAAAAATATTTTTATAATAAAAAATTAATCCATCAGAACATATCGAAAAATACAAATAAAAACTAAATCAACATAGTTAAAAAACAATATCTAAAAATAAGTGAATCCAAAAATAATTAGTCGTTTTTAATATTAAAAAATATACATTCATCTTTTTTCGTCTAATAAAAAGAAGTAAAAAGATTGGATGATATTTGGTAAGAAAAATTTGAATTTCTAATGAAGCAAAAAAAAATATATTGTAATTTGTATTAGAATGACATTTTAATAAGGCCGTATAATAAAGATTCAAGTCCTCTCATCATCCTCATCTTTTTTTGTGGGTAAATAAAATAAATCATTTTTACATTTGGATTTTTTTTATAAATTTTCATATATATATATATATATATGTAGAGTTTTTATATTTGAGAGATTTTGGTCATCTCATATATTTTTTACATTTTTTTTAATTTGTTACCCTTAAAATTATCGTGAACCAAATTGTGTTAGGTTTTAATTTACATCCCCCGTGACCCATGTCTCTATATACATACATTAAGCAAGTACGTTTAAGTTTTAATTTATTTCAATTTTACATAAACTGCAAGATGTGTTTATAACTAAGGCGAAACTCATGACACAAATAAATCACAGAGATTATCACCAATTATTTCTACAACTATAAAACACGTCAGACCGCAAGAAGACAACAAAAAAATGGCCATAAAAGATCCGAGTCGATGAACAAAGCCAAGCGAATTCAATGCACCAGAGAGCATAGAAACATGAGAAAGAACAACATCATGGACGAATGAAGATGGGAAACACACAAAAAACAAACACAAGAGTTCAATTCAATAAATAATAGAACACCAAGAGAGAAATGGGGTGTTTTTCCTCACTTTGCCATCATCACTTTGACAAACTCATCGTAGTTGATCTGGCCGTCGCCGTCCACGTCAGCTTCTCTGATCATCTCGTCCACTTCCTCGTCCGTCAGCTTCTCCCCGAGGTTCGTCATCACGTGGCGAAGCTCGGCTGCCGAGATGAAACCGTTCTGGTCTTTGTCGAAAACCCTGAAGGCTTCCTTGAGTTCTTCCTCTGAATCTGTGTCTTTCATCTTCCTGGCCATCAGGTTCAAGAACTCAGGAAAGTCTATGGTACCGTTACCGTCTGCGTCCACTTCATTTATCATGTCCTGAAGCTCAGCTTCTGTCGGGTTCTGTCCGAGCGACCTCATGACTGTTCCTAGCTCCTTAGTGGTGATGCATCCTGGAGCCATGTTTGCGAAATCGGTAAGAAGTTATTAATGATGATGGTAATACTATTCCCAAATGCAGATTAAGAAATCTTGAAGTTACATTTCATAGAAATTCATCAACATCTCCATCACAACTACCCTAATCGGGTTTTGGATTATGAATGCTACAAGAATGGAAGGTCTAAAATCAGGGCCAAGGCAGAGATGGAATGAGATTTCAAAAGCTATACGGCTCAATCATGGACATTGCAATAATGCAATATCAAGTTCAAAATGACAGAGCTCGTTCTACATCTTAACATGGTCATAACGAAGCGGGCATAGCCACATGCCACATGAACACACTTCCACCAAACATCCTCTAAATCTGATATTTTTGTTTCCAATACAACGTTAATTCTGGAAACCAAAAACTCCTCTGAAGCCGCAGCTCCACCAGTGGATACAGTAAGGATATAAAGTATTTGCACCCTCCAGGAAACTAAAGGACATTTCAATCACCGCTCAAGTAACTCCGCAAGGCACCACCAGTCAAGAAATTCATTTATAATCTAGTTCGAAAGGGAACGTAACGTATCAACAACAGATGGATGCGAATTCTTAAACCTAGAGCCAGAAAGTCGATACTGCAACGTCAAATCTCATGTAAGGTGCAAACTTCCATTTATTCTAAAAACAAGATCCCTCGAACCTAATTTCGAGCATCAATCACGAAGGATCGAGATGCCAAAACTACAGCAGAATGCCAGGAGAATCGAATGTAAAACCCACAGAATCCAAATCAAAGAACACAAACGTACAGAATCAACGAAAAACATCCACATCTTCAGCCACGTCGATGAAATTGAAAACAACGAGACTAGCATAGCTCAAAACCGAAAAACAAATTCACAGAGAAACTCGAGAGAACGGCGAAAACATCAACCTAAGCACAATCGCACAGAAAACAAAGGGCAGCGGAAACACCCGATGGACAGAAAAAAGAGGGAAAAAGAGAGATCGGAGAGAAAAGAACCATCGCCATCCTTGTCGAAGAGGCTGAAAGCTTCCTTAAACTCGGAGATCTGGTCGTCGGTGAGCTGATCCGCCATCTTGGGTTTTCCGGAACTTTCCGATCGAAGACGGGAGAGAGAGAGAGAGAGTATAACGTATATTAATGCAATTTGCGATGAACGTGGGAGTATAAAAAGGAGGGGGGGGAGGAAGAGAAAGTAGGCGCCCACTGGGCCCATTAGGCCCATTAAAAGAAGGGCATCTAATTCTGTCCCAAAGTGTGTGTTATTTGCTTTCCACGTGGCATTGTCCACGTCATCCTTCACCCCAATCTATTCTATACATTTTTAGGAAAAATAAACAGGGAGATGAGAATGGAGAGAGATCGATGTGTGAGAGAGAAATTATATGTTGCAAATAGTGTTTTTTTTTATACTTCGTCTTTCCGGTTTTGATTAGATACGGACCCGGTTAACGGGTAATTCGACAGACATTCGGCGAAAAAGGCCCCTCTCTGGCTTGAGACCAAAGAAAACTTAATCCCGATCGTGCTTTAAGGCCACGAAGAAGAAGTAGAAGAAGGAAGAAGGATCAACGAGATGAGCAGCATTGGAACTGGGTACGATCTGTCCGTGACGACCTTCTCTTCTGATGGTCGTGTTTTCCAAATCGAGTACGCTGCCAAAGCCGTCGACAACAGTGGGTCTGTTCCTAAATCCATTTCTTCTTGTTTTTGCTCTTCGGATTCTTCCCTTTGGGTTTCGTTTAGATGGCAGGGTGTTGGGTAAATGGCCCGTGGCGTCCTCAGCGTTCACGGATTAGGGTTTTGGCTGTTGGGTTTTGTTGTTTGTGCGGTGATGTTCATGGCTGGGCGATTTTGTTTTTGCAGAACTGTTGTCGGCATCAAATGTAAGGACGGAGTTGTAATGGTATTGTTCTTTTTCCCTTCCCTTCCCTTTACCCTCGGGCTTGTTCTTCAGTTTTTTGGACATAGATTTCGACATGTTTATGCATGTGGGTTCTCTTGGTGTAGCATTCGAATTCAGTATGATCGTAGTTTGCTGTTTTTGGATTTGTCGTGTTGTGATTAGAGCCTTCATTTTCCACAATCTGAAGCAAATTGCTGTTTTGTTTTTCTAATTCCAGATTACCCATCTCTAGATCTCCATGTAGATAAATTTTTCGATTTATGTTCAGTAGCAGTGTTAAGACTATAATATAGGAATTGTCTTGCAAAGTTTAAGTTTTTCCATTTGTAGGGTGTGGAGAAGCTTATTGCATCAAAGATGATGCTACCAGGTTCCAACCGGAGAATCCATTCGGTTCATCGTCATGCTGGCATGGTACGCTTTTAGGATGTAGGATGTTATTGTTTCACATGGTCATATCTGATTCATTTCACTGTCGTGGTCATTTCTTGTGTGGCTTATTATTACCAGGCTGTTTCTGGATTAGCAGCTGATGGAAGGCAAATTGTTGCACGGGCTAAATCTGAAGCAACGAATTACGAGAGGTGCCAATGGAAGCACTTTTACTGTTTGAACTGCATATTTCATCTGCCAAGATCAAAGTTTTCCATGAATTTGGTTTTGGTTTGTTTGATCTCCATCAGCTTGATTTTTTATCTGCTTCTTTTGCTTGCTATGTGGCATCAGTTTGGAAGACTGTTCCAATGCTATCGTATACCCATATGGGTTTTGTTGCTTAGAATAGGATAGAAAAATGTACAGCTCCTTGGCCTAAAGTTCGAATCTTGATGCCATAATATATCCATGTGCATGGTTTCCCCATGATTCGGCTTGTCTTGACATAATTAAATGGTTTATTGATTGTGGAAATCTGCTCTCTTTCTTTCGATGTGAAAAATTTAGTGTCTACGGAGAAGCCATACCCGTGAAGGAACTTTCTGAACGAGTTGCGAGTTATGTACATTTGTGCACCCTTTACTGGTGGCTCAGGTTTTAACAACTCCTTTTCTTCTTTGTTCATCATCATCAGATTCATCACCACTTTCTATTGTTCTTGTGTGGATGATTTAACTGACTGGTTTTGATTTTGAAGGCCCTTTGGCTGTGGGGTCATTCTCGGAGGTTATGATAGAGACGAACCTCAACTGTACATGATTGAGCCATCAGGCATCTCATATGTAAGTTCTTTCTGTTGATAGTAGCCCCGTTTCAAATGAGATGTCTGTATAAGTTTTGGACATTATGCTCAACGTTCACATCTGAATAATTCTTTTTACTTGCAGAGGTATTTTGGCACTGCCGTCGGGAAAGGAAAGCAAGCTGCTAAGACGTAAGTTGCTACCAAAGATTTTGTACTGAATTGTGGAAAAGCCAGGGTCTTATCTAGTCTAATCTCACGGGCCGACTGTTTTCTTGGGCAGGGAAATAGAGAAGTTGAATCTTTCTGAGATGACATGCAGAGAAGGCGTAATCGAGGTGGCCAAAATGTGAGTGTCGCCTCGGTTGTTTCAGTTTCGGTACACTTTCCTTGTGATTTTGTGTGGCCATACCCATATGCTGTGACTGCATTTTGTGTGTATGTGCTTCATGTCTAGCAAGAATCTAATTTCACTTTCATAATGCCAGAATATACAAGCTACATGATGAAGCCAAGGACAAGGCTTTCGAATTGGAGATGAGTTGGATATGCGACGAGTCAAAGCGAGAACATCAGAAGGTAATTCATTACTCTGTAAACCTTCATCAACCTAATTAATTAGATGGGTTGACAGATAAATGTTGAAACGTCCGACCATATCGATAGCAGCAACTGATCCAAGGTTTCTGCACAAATCTCGGACATCCGGGCTTTTCCATTTGAAAAACAGCGGGAATATATTCGCGGGTATCAGATCAGGACTAGAGCTTGGAGTGGTTTGAGACTTAGACCCTGAACCCGTTTAGGTTTCTTCTAATGATAGAAAGGGTTACATTTCCTTTTTCGTCGATATACAAATCGGCCTATATCCTTCTGAACATCGATTGAGGGCAAGAATCATTACGTTGTGAACTCGGGGCTCGATCGGTTTCTTTCCTTTGTTTTCTTCCTCAGGTTCCGGATGATCTCGTTGAAGAAGCTAAGACTGCAGCCAAAACTGCACTTGAAGAAATGGACGCTGACTAAAGCGAGGCTACGTTTGATTAGTTTAAAAAAAACATTTTTTTTTGTAGCTTTGATGATTGAATTGAATGTCTCTGTTAAAGATAAATGTTAAAGATATATATATATATATACTGTTAATAAAATTAAATTTGAAAACGGGATTTTAAAAATGATTTAAAGTAACCAAGATGAGATTTAAAAAATGGGTCCCGTAAAATAAATTAAAATATATTAATTTTCATTAAAACGTGTAAATTTGGTAACGTTCGTGAAAAGAATATCAAAAACGTTTTTTAAATATGTGTAATATGTCATGCACGAGCGCAAACTCTACAAGTGAAAAATAAAAAGCTTTTCTGTTATTTCGCTTGGCCCAATATCTTATCGCAGATTTCTACTCCTCCTCCTGCCCTAACCCGGAGAATCTCCTCCGTTGGCGGTTGTTTCTCCGTTCAGCTTCTGTTCCGGCATCCCTGTGGCTCCTGGGTTCATCGCCGGATTCTGAAGCTTCCATCCTCAGTCCTGTTTCGGGCTTTTCCTTTTGAACAATCATAATGGCTTCAGGTCTTACTTCATCTTTGGGTTTTGATTCCTTCGTCGTGTGATGGATGAACTAGGGCTTTTCGAATTTCTGAGTGATTGTAATGATGCTCTCAATTTTAGGTTTTTTTCCTTTTTTTGTTGGAAACTGTTTTTCGAACTTTTTGAATTTTTTCTTTGCAGATGCTGATATGGAGGATTACGGATTTGAATACTCCGACGAGGAACCGGAGGAACAGGACGTTGACATTGAGAATCAGTACTACAACTCCAAAGGTTTTCTTTTGAAGCTTTCCATGTTTTTCTTTGTTCCTTTTCAACTTCTGTTTGAAATGTAGGTCTTATAAGTGCCATTTTCTCCGTTCAAACTGAAAATGTATTGATAGGGTTTGTCTCTTTTCTGTAAAGGCATTGTCGAGACTGACCCAGAAGATGCTCTTTCCGGGTTTGCTGAAGTGGTCAGGATGGAGCCGCAGAAGGCTGAATGGTGAGTATCCTAGCCGGTGATGGGATAAGGGAGTTTAATACAATTAACGATTGTGATTGCTGTGGCATCAGACGGTAATTACTAATTTGCATTGTGATATTCTGCTCGATATGCAGTGTCAATATGCATTTGTCCCAAGTTGGTATAGGGTTGAATGTGATGACAGTAGAACTGTAGAAGGGATTTCATGCTTTGCAAGTTTTTTACGTTACCTGATAAAGTGCTAAAGCAGACTCATTTCTTGTTTATGACCTCTTGGAAAGAAATTAATGGCAGATGTCTGTCTGTCATGTCATGTCATGTCATGTTTTGTGACTTATGTCTTTGAGGTTTTGGTGGCTTATGTCATGTTAAACTTGCTTCCAGCCAAATTCACAGACATTTATGTCTTTCTTTCTGAAAAAAATGGTGTCATGACTCATGACATTGTTTTTTTTATTTTAGATTCTTTTTCTCTGATTCTCTCATCCTTGATCCTTTGAATATGTTATTTAAACTTTCTTTTGCTATAGTCAAGTATTCTGCCATCTATTTGTTGTCAGGGGTTTCAAAGCGCTAAAGCAGACTGTAAAGGTTTACTATCGTCTGGGTAAATACAGAGAAATGATGGATTCATATAGAGAGATGCTTACATACATCAAAGCAGCAGTGACCCGTAATTATAGTGAAAAGTGTATAAACAGTATTATGGATTTCGTCTCTGGATCTGCCAGCCAGAACTTTGGTCTGCTACAAGAATTTTATCAAACCACTTTGAAAGCCCTTGAAGAGGCCAAGAATGAGGTCTGCAAACTATTTTTCCATTGGTATCAGCTACTGCACCTTGTCTCTGGTGTCTCAGAGATGTGTTATGTTGCTTTCTTTCTTGCAGAGACTGTGGTTCAAAACTAATCTTAAACTCTGCAAGATCTGGTTTGACATGGGTGAATATGGGCGGATGAGTAAGGTATATTTGTTTTGATGGCATTCTTTTGTGCCTCATCCTGTTTCAAAACCCTTGATATGTATAAGATATAACAGTTATTGTTAACCAGATCTTGAAGGAACTCCATAAATCTTGTCAAAAAGAAGATGGCACAGATGATCAGAAGAAAGGTAGTCAGCTTCTTGAGGTTTACGCAATTGAAATTCAAATGTACACTGAAACGAAGAACAACAAAAAGCTTAAGGTTAGGATCACCTACTAAATGTTTTAGCAACAGTCACTTTTTTTCATGTGAAAACTTATGTCGAGGTTCTGTGATGTCATCGGTGTTTGCTTTCTCTAGCTTTTGTTGGCTTCTCTGACCGAGTTTTAACACTCTGAATTGATGCAGCAACTATACCAGAAAGCACTTGCTATCAAATCAGCTATACCTCATCCTAGGATCATGGGTATAATACGTGAATGTGGTGGGAAAATGCACATGGCAGAACGTCAATGGGCAGAAGCAGCTACTGACTTCTTTGAGGCGTTTAAGAATTACGATGAGGCTGGCAACCAGAGACGTATACAATGTTTGAAGTATGTTCCTTATATCCTCGTATCTCTTATGTTCCTTGTATTATACTCTTATCTGTCCTGCCTTCCCTGTCTTATGCCCGCTGGTCACTTGTTATCAAAATATTTTTTTATGAACAATCGCAAAGAAAAATTCACTGAATTTACTTAAATTTTATGTGTAAGGATATCAAAGTAGCTAATACAGCAACACCTTGCTGTTTGGATTTGACTTCGAGTCTTCGAGAAATATTAACTAGCTTTTGGAACTCCTGAACATATTCTTTTTTGTATCTTTTCCCGGTAAGCTTGCTTTTGGTTCTTTATTTTACAATTGGATATCTAATGAATTTTATCGTTTTGTTATGGATTCACAAAGATATCTTGTTTTGGCTAATATGCTGATGGAGTCAGAGGTTAATCCATTTGACGGACAAGAGGCAAAGCCGTAAGTCCTTTTCCTATGAATTGCCACGTAAACCTCTCTTCTGAATTTCTTTTCCTTTGGGTTTCTATTAAATGCTTCAACTTTTACATTATTCCTCTCTGCAGTTATAAAAACGACCCTGAGATTTTAGCAATGACAAACTTGATAGCGGCATATCAACGAAACGAAATACTAGAGTTCGAGAAAATACTGAAGGTATGTACTCCGTCTCTTTTAGTTGTACGACCATTTGTACATGAGATACTAACAGTTTGGTCATCATATCTGATTTCTGAATAAATTGCTTCAACGATAATTCTCAGAGTAACAGAAAGACAATCATGGATGACCCATTTATCCGTAATTACATCGAGGATTTGTTAAAGAACGTCAGAACGCATGTGCTTCTCAAGCTTATCAAACCTTATACAAGGATAAGGATTCCTTTCGTCTCAAAGGTGAAACTGTGATGCTTCTGAGTTTTCTTTATCCTGTCTAATTGCTTGGAAACTTGCTAAGACTGAACATTCAAACCTTTGGTTAAGCATTTCTTCTCTGAGCTGACGAGGTCGTTTGATTTTTTTAAGGAACTTAATGTTCCAGAGAAGGATGTTGAGCAGTTGTTGGTTTCACTAATCCTTGACAATCGGATTGACGGGCACATCGATCAAGTGAACCGTCTTTTGGAGCGCGATGACAGGTTATCAAACTCTTTATATCCTTAGCTCCACTATTCTATATAATCGTATAAGTACTGAATCTCGGACGGAGCCTCTCTTGTTGTCAGGTCCAAGGGCATGAAGAAGCACACAGCCATAGACAAATGGAACACGCAGCTAAAATCTCTATCTCAAAGCATCAGCAACCGGGTGTGTTAGGACATTCCTTAGCCTCGCTGTCCCTTTCCACAAGCAAGGTTCTTTTCTCATCCCTTCTTTTCATGATGCTTTTAGGAGATCTCTAGAGTCTAGAGTAAGAACAGAAAAGCTATTCCATTGGTTATTAAGCGTCTCCGGAGTTAAGCGCGTATTTTTTTCGGAGTTTTTTTTACTTTCGGTTTCCGATTTGGGTTTCATGTTATCGTTTGCCTGTGGAGTCATCGTCTGCATTGTATGTGAAAACGGAGGATGGTGTCTTCTAATGGTTCACAGAGATGGAAATTGGCGCATTGTGTTCTGACATCGTCGTCGATATTCTTTATATAAATATGTATAGAAAATTCTAATCGATCATTTTCACCGCTCGCAATGTTCAAACATTTGTTGTATTTTCGAATGATATACAGAGGCCGAGGCCATGCACGTTAGACATGCATGATACCATGTAAAAACAGGCATAAGTATGCCGAGACTTTAGGGTTGGACGTGGATACCCAAATATGCGGGGAGATACGTCCCGCGGGTATTCGAAATTCGGAAAAAACGAGTCTGGTGAGTGCTGTCTTGGGCGCGTGGTGTCGGAGAATCCAAGTTTGGGTCTCATCGGTCGGTTACCCATATCGATGGATAATCCAAGCCCCGAGGGGTAAGGGGGATAGAGGTAGGGTCGACTCTTGTCGCGGCCGCGAGAGGTCGTCAAGGGCAACGGGTTAGAGCAATGCGACCCGACCCGATTTTAACTTCTTTAAAATTCTTAAATCACGGGTCGTACAAAGATTGCAAGTAGCTCGGATATAAAATTTCTAAAAATTGTTTTTTTAAATGTTGTTCAATGTATAAATATTATATATGGGTTAAGATTTTTTGTATTTTCCTTTATGTGAAAGGGGAAATAAGAGATTTAAAGTTTCGATTATTTGGTAATTATTCATTATCGGACATTGACAATGTCCAAAAAGAGTAATAAACATAAAATATGTGTAAAGATTATATGCGTATGCACCTTTTGTTATTTTTGTAATAAGATATCAAATAATATCTTTTCCGGATATATGCTTCTGTTTGTGATGTTGAAATCTCAAGAATTACTTTGAGATTTAATATCTACAAGTAGTTATTGTGGTTACGATCCGCTTTGCAGATCAAAGTTGTTTTCTTTTAAAATTATAAAGATTTTTTTATGGAAAAAAATAATAAATGAAAAGGTTACATCTTATTAAAATAACACATGCTCATTTGGGTTTTAGTTTTTTGGTAGGATAAATTTTTTAGTTTGATAAAAAAAATAAAGGAATTTTAAAAAAGAATATCCATTTATTTTCAAGTCGTAAATGGAATGAATATGGATTTGATTTTGAATAGTTGCGCCTTTTTCTTGTTTTGGATTTTTCCCATGAGAAGTTTATTTGACAAGTTCCTATGAGACCATTGACTGCACAGAATCTCTACAGTTCAACCATTACTCTTGTTTTTTGACTAAATCCTCCACATCTTCCCCATGCAACTGTAGCAACTCTACTACGTGTCCGAACACCTTCACCCCCACATATACGTATGTATACGTGTGTGTGTGTATATATACCTTCACCCACAAAATATATACGTACATATAGACGTATATGTGGAGAATAGAAACAAAAACCATGCATGGAACTTGGAAGAAGGCGAACTCCGTTTGACCTTTGAAATAAGTTAGAGCTTCAAGTCAACATTCGTGACCTGAAGAAAAGAAGAATATTTATGATTGCCGATGGTACTGTATTGATTCATGATATTTCTATATGTGTGTGTATATATATACACACACATTTGTTTTCAAACAAATATATTGATTCCATAAAAGGATATTATATTTTCCCCAATTTGGGTCGTGATTGAAACGTTTATGCCAAATTGAAGATACTCTCATCAGATTTATTTATATCTCTTAAGCCCAAAAATTATAATAAATGGATTTTTTTAAGCTTCTGATTAAAAATTGAATTTATGGGTTCTTAGATATGACTGGTTAAAAACTGGGAAACAAACGACAAACTTGTGAAAATTACAAAAATTTTATGATAATGTACACCATCTCTATTCTAATTCATAAGAGAAATGGATACGATAACATGTAACCATTCCATGTCAAGTTCACATTAGCAAAGTGCTCTAAAATCAAATCTGAAACCAATCGTCACCACCATCTTCACCGCCAACATAAGGCTGATTCAGATCAAACCCTAGCACTTTCTCCTCTCGAGCTCGAACATGAAAACGATCGCCTGATCCGATCTTCATCTTCATATCTACGACCACACCCTTACCCTTTGAAGAACCCATCTGATATCCATGTCTGGTTTCTTCACGTGGGCACGGGTTTCTAACACCGGGTTTCGCCTTTCCCATGTCTCCGGAACTGGATTCCAATCCAAACCCTAAACTCTTCACCGGTCGATAATTGATTCTGGCGCAAGAAAGCATCATCAGACAGTAGGCGGCTTCTTGTACGTCCGTCATGGACGTGCTCGTCACGTCCAACACGTCGTCGTAATCGTCGTCCAGATCGCTGGTGCACGAGCTGATCTTGAACTTCTTGGACGAGGAAGACGAACCGGCGGCCACCGACATCATCCGGAGCTCGAACTCACTTTCCGGCAGTGGTGGTGGTGGTGGTCGAATCCCTTTCCAACTCCTGTCAGGGTGTCTCCTCATATGCCCAAATAAGGAGTGCTTCGTCAGAAAAACCTTACCGCAGATACAGCAACTGATCTCACCTCCCTCTTCCACGTCAGCCCTACCCATCAGATCTCTCTCCTCCTTCTCTATCCTCTTCATGTTCTTCTCCTTATTCTTCTTCTTCTTCTTCACCGTACTGTTCTTATTCTTCTTCATCATCTTGCTCTTGTTCTTGCTCTTGTATTCGATCGAATGGATCCTCACGTGACCGCCAAAAGCCTTACCGGAGCTAAACTCTTTGTTACAAACCTCACAGAAATGCCTGCGGCGTGGCGGCGGCGATGGATTAGTATTCTGTTCTTCGTTAGGCTTCGCCGGAATCTTCACCTTCAGACGCAGCTTTTTCTCCGGCCGGTGAAGTTCCTCAGATTCCGACGAGGACGAAGAGTCATGGACAGATTGATCAGCAAATGGGTTTCTTGCATTTCTTTTCATCTCCATGCATGTGATCATGAACAAAGAAGAAGACGATAGAGTTCTTCTTTGATTTGGTTCTTGAGGGGAAAGAAATTACAGGAGCGAGATTTATGGAGGATTTTATGACTAATGGTATTCTCAATAAGAAGAATATGGGATTTGTAGAGATGCAAATTAGTCATTAATGAGATGAAATTGTGGTGGAAAAGGAATAATTATCGTGTGTTTATCGGAGTATTGAATTTTCAGTGGACCTGTCGAATTGCAATATAGGAAAAAAATATTTTATTTATGTATAGTCAAATAGTAAATCACATAAAATTCTTAAATCTGAATTTGAATCTTAAGAACAGAAAGATTTGTCAAATGACATATACGCAAGAACAAAACCATTTTTTTAGATTTCTTGAGATTTTAAAATATTATAATTTTACACAAGTATTTTTTTATAAAAAAGTTATTTAACAATGAAATTTTTTAAAATGAATTTTAGTCGTTTAAAATATCATATCATATGGTACTAGACCCTAACAATTTAAATTTATATATTCTTAAGTGTGATTTTATATGTTTATTGTGCTTGGGTTTGATGTGGCTTTTGTTCCTGTTTTGATAAAATTATGTTTTCTTATTTCAACTTTAAAGTTGTGAATTAATTAATTATAACATTTATTTTCATTTTTAATCTATATAAAAATAATGCATCTATATCATATGTAAGAAAATAAGAGGAATCATTTAATGGTGTAGTGTGTATATATATATATATATAAAAGATTGGTCTAGTTGTTTATGATTTAGATATGCATATATATGCAAATGGTATACGACCTGAGTAAAATTGTAGAAAATAAACATAAAAGATTAACAAATACTTATTTGCAATTAACTAATTAATTGATTCTTTTGGTTTGTTAAAATAAGAAAGATTAATTTCCAAATATTATGAATATTATTAGTTATGGAAACATTTTTAATATGTTAGGAAAGGGAGAGATAAGGATAGCCAGAGATAGAAAAGAATCTCAAGATTATAAAACTTGTAAAATAATTTTATGATATTCATTAAATACTAAAGGATTGCAACAGATTTTTCTGTTCTTTGCAACTTTATTTTCTATCAGTTGATTGCAATTAAGTATAATGTGAATTGAATTATAAAATTTTCCTTCATTTATCACTTAATTTGAGGTTAATATTAAATAGTGTTTTATGCCTTTTTTAGATAAAATTGATATTTTAATTCAATAATTTAAAATCCAAACATTTTTTCTGAGAATATGCTCCACTGCTATTTATCAAATATAAATTGGAACTAAAATATTTAATACAAAAATTTGAAACAAAAACTCAAATAAAATATTTTAAATTTTTTTAAAGATAATAAAAAATAACATTTGTATCTTATATTTATTTATTTTACTCAACAATATAAATACATAGAATTATGTAAATCCATTTTAAAAAATTGAAAAGAAAATTTAATAAATTGATAACATACAAAGGAAAAAAAAAATATAAAGTAAAATGAAATAAAATATTTCCAATGATAAGGGTAAATGATGAAAAAACAAGGAAAATTTTAAATTAGAAAATATAAAACAAAAAGAAAAAATAATTAAATTTAAGATGTGAAAAATATTTTTACATAAAGAACTTAAATAGAAAAACACGACTCATATATATAGTAGATTATTAATAAAAATTTAATTTGTGTGTGTGTATATATATCAACCAATATATAGTTATTTATTCGTCCCATTTTTTGGATTCTTTGAATTGTTTTAGTGAAAATGTTTTCCATTCTCATCAAATAAAATGAAATTTTTAAAAATTTAGTTTGTAAAACTAACAAGAATACAAGATTCTTGTTGTAGGTATAACAAGAATACCAAATTCTAAAGATTTAAAAAATATTTTTATTCTTATCGTCTGTATATATATATATATATATGTGTATATATGATAAAAATAATGAGTAAGCAACACTGTGAAAATAATATGTATATATTAAATGTAATATTATCCTTAAAAACATAAAATAATTCCGCTAGAGATAAATGTTACTAAAAAGCTTTTGGTCTTTCCAGTTTCCACTATCTCCTCCGTTTTACATCCACATTTAACAGTTTTCTTTTCCCACCGGTCAAGTGATGTTTGAATTCCAATTTTGGAGGAAAAAAATTAGTAAATTAGTTTTTTTTTCAACAAGAAATAGGATTATTTTTATTTTTTTCAAGAAAATAAAGATAATTTTCTAATAAAAATATCAAAGAAAAATTATCTTTATTTTCTTGAAAAATTAAAAAATGGTACTTTGTAATTATGTGGAACACTTTGACCGTAAAATCGCGGAATCCAAACCCGAATCCAATCTGTAGTTAATCTTGATTTATAAATTTGATTTTAAAAAAAAAATAAAATCGGATGGGTTGGTTAAGATCTTATGGCTTGTCGTCTTCCAGTTACAAATTCAACATGTCTTCTTCATCTGTCTTCTTGTCGAACATCTGGAATTTGGATCATCTTAATCCGTCATTTACGAACGAATTTTGAATTGAATTTTAAAATTTTATTAATTACCGAACAGTACCGAAATGATCGATTTGACAATTTTGTTTTATTTATTAAAACCGAACGGTGCAAAACAGAGAGAAGTAATCGGTTTTGGTTCTGCAAAACCGTATCGAACCGGAATCTAACCGAAGGGCCTACCCCTCCCCTGTTACGCTCCCTCCTTCCTAATCCGAAAGCCAAACGTCAGGGAAAATCTCCCAAATAACCCACTTCATTCACATCTATTTCAGTGTACACCATCAAAAAAAAAAAAAAATTTTTTTTTCAATTTTAACCCACTTTTCAGGTGGAAAAGTCCGAAATACCCTTTTCGTTTTATTTTTTGCGACTTTATTACGACTAACATATAACTGATATACAACTAAAATAAGGCAGATAATTTTTTTGCCACTTTTTTAAGAATCAATTGTAACTATATTTAGACTTAATTACGAAGTCGTAATAACGAAGTTGTTTTTGAATGGATAAATATCGTGATTCATTAAGGGTAATTTCGTCTTTTTACAGGAAAAAAAATGTGTTATGTTTTTTGTGGTGTACAGGGACAACAAAGACAAGAAGGAAGCAAAGCATACAAGCCATGTACAAGTAAAATAAAACACCTATCAGTTACAGATCAGAAATGGCATAGGTTATTCACAGGACAATCAAACACCATCACCATAAAAAGCTGAGGAACCCTTTCATAAATGCAACAAGTGAACCAAATTTCTCTACTCTAGTTGAGTGTTTTCAATTTCTCGATTCCCTTTTCAGTGTCGTTTATCTGCTTACAAGCCTGATTGGCCAATAAGGAATAGTTGTCTATAATCCTCTACCGCATGTTTACCCAGAAATGGATTGTGACAGAAAGTGCATTGGCTATTTGTCTGAACTCAGAAGTAAAACCCTTCATGGGGCTTGATTGGTTGATGGGTCCGAGAAGCATCAGATCAAAGGGAAAAAAAGGATGAAATTTCCGACAAAGACCGGAACTTTCACCGTAGGGACAAGGATTCGACCAAATATCTCATCCCAATTTACTTCTGTACGAATCGATTTACAGGATTTCGCGACTATATAGTCAAAGTACGAAAACACAAGCCAAATAGGAATCTTTCGTATCGCATGCCTGGGTTTGGAGACGCCAGTCTTCTCTCCGGTTTTGGTCAGAACGTCAATGTGCTCTTCCCTTGCAGGTTCGCCCGCCATGGTCTCTCTCTCTCTCTACCCTTCTGTATTTGTTTGTCTGAATGTGTAAATGACTTGCAAGTGCGATATTTATAGAACAAAAAATATATGTTGAAAACTAGCAAAGTGGGTTTTCTCTCCTTGTCTTTCGCCTTCGGGAAAATCTCCCAAATAACCCACTTCATTCACATCTATTTCAGTGTACACCACCAAAAAAAAAAAAAAAATTTTTTTCAATTTTAACCCATTTTTCGGGTGGAAAAGTCCGAAATACCCTTTTCGTTTTATTTTTTGCGACTTTATTACGACTAACATATAACTGATATACAACTAAAATAAGGCAGATAATTTTTTTGCCACTTTTTTAAGAATCAATTGTAACTATATTTAGACTTAATTACGAAGTCGTAATAACGAAGTTGTTTTTGAATGGATAAATATCGTGATTCATTAAGGGTAATTTCGTCTTTTTACAGGAAAAAAAATGTGTTATGTTTTTTGTGGTGTACAGATGAAATAGATGTTAGATGTGAACGAAGTGGGTTGTTTGGGTAAAAAACCCCAAACGTCAAGCGAACAAGATAAACTCTCGAATTCAGACGCCTTCGGCGCTGCCGACTGTTTCCGCCGTTCCGGTGTAAGTGTGTCTATCTGGGTTTTCGAATTCGGGTTTTTTGTGTGTTCGTACTTCCTATTTGTATGTCTTCATGTCTTACCAATGAAGTAAATCGGATCATTCCGAATTCGATTTCGTTTCATTTTAGTTGTTGGTCTTTGTCTTCGGGCAGCAATTCCGCGGAAGAATCATTGGATTGAGGAGTGACCTTTAAAGCCTTATGCCCACCAGATGTTTGTCAAAACGATCCTGTGAAGCTACATTTTGTTTTCGTGCTTCGTACTTCATTTTCACCAGCTGCTTATGGTCGCTCCTAGGGTTTATCCAACTGGGTTTACGTGTTTCTCTCACTTGCTTTCTAAAGTTTGCAACTTTCTGTTCGTTCCGACAAATCCAGTAGTTCAGGTTTTTTGTGTTTTGGGTCAAGATTTTTGTATAGTTTGTGTTTCAATAGAGTGTGCCTAGGTTATTTGGATTAACGAGCTTAAGTGCACGGCCGCTTCTACGTATAACTGATTTTCCGTTTAATTCAAATTCTAGTCTGGCAATACTGATTATCTGTTGATGTTCAACCAAAGACGATGATTGATAGATGTCTAGAATAGATTTCCAACAATCTTTTTTGCAGATTGTATGAAACTGCCCTGTCATTTTATACTCATCAGATCTTTTCTGGTTTTGTTTGTGTTTGTTTTAGGAATTAACCACTTAAAATGTGTACGCCTTAGAGTCTTAGACAGGTCCCAAGTCATCCAGCCTGGCAACGAGGGAGCCGAGCTTCACACCACATAATGGCCGTCCTCTTTGCTCAGTCCACTCTCTTCAGCCGCGCTTCCTTCTCTGTTCTGCGTAGCAATGGCTTCACTCGATTCTCCTTCTCTTCCTTTTCTTCCTCTGCGGCTGTTTATTCTCCACCTCTCCCTAAGACAAAGAAGCATTGTCAGCCTATTGTATCTGCTCTTGAGCTTGGCGGCATCAAACTCTCTAGAGATGGTTCGTAACTAAGTCTCTAAAAAAAATTTATTGTTTGTTTAGTTTTTTTTCCTTGGGATAATCAATTTACTTAGCGTTTTTTTTTTGCTGATTGACTGTTTTGTTAAATCTGCTTAATGGGAAATTTTACAGTTTTTGTTTTGAGAATATTTCCATTGGAAGCTCGCAATTTTTTTTTAAAAAATTCTTTGCTTGTTATGCTGAAAAGATAAGGATTGTAAATTTTATAGAGTTGTGAATAATTCCTTTGATGGGAAATGTTTGATCCAAATACTTTATTGAATTTTGTAGATGTGGTGAGAGATGATCCAACGAACAATGTACCTGACACAATTTTCTCTAAGCTTGGAATGCAGCTCCACAGAAGGGATAAGCATCCGATTGGGATATTGAAAAATGCTATATATGAGTACTTTGATTCCAATCACGCGACCAAGTTTGAAAAGTTTGAGGATCTTTGCCCAATTGTTTCCACAAAGCAAGTAAATTCTGCAGACTCAGGGGCTTGTGTATCTGCTTTCTCACGTTAATTAATTCCTCTTTTTATATATATGTGATCTTTTTTGGTTTATACCAGAACTTTGATGATGTGCTAGTTCCGGCTGATCATGTGAGCAGAAGCTACAATGATACGTACTATGTTGACCAACAAACTGTCTTAAGATGTCACACGAGTGCTCACCAAGCAGAGCTGTTGAGGAAGGGGCACACTCATTTCCTTGTAACTGGGGATGTTTATCGTAGAGATTCTATTGATTCCACTCACTATCCCGTGTTCCATCAGGTTTTGTTTTTGAGTTCCCTGTTGTTTGCTCTAGTCATTTTGTTTTTCAAAATCATGGCATTCTTATGCTAAAGACATGTATATATCATGTGATGTAGATGGAAGGTTTTCGTGTTTTTTCTCCTGAGGATTGGAATGCATCTGGCTTGGATTCCACAGCTTATGCTGCTGAGGATTTAAAGAAATGTCTTGAGGGATTGGCACGTCACTTGTTTGGTAAATTCGGGATCTCTTCACCTGAAGCTAAGTTTAAAGTTCTGTCCTTGTGCATATTTGTACTCGGCAAAGCAGGAGGGTTGAATCGAACATGGTTAAAGTCATATATTTAGGATGCTTACTTTGTCACTTCAAAAAGTACAGAGAGCTGGTAATTTATGTGAGAACAATGTAACATAGAGAAAGATCGTGATGATAATGAATCATTTTGCTTCCCATTTGATTTGCGTTATAAAATCATGTTCTCAAGACTCTCATACGTGAACTCTTTTTTATTCACAGGTGCTGTAGAAATGCGATGGGTTGACACATATTTCCCATTTACCAATCCATCTTTCGAGCTTGAGATATATTTCAAGGTACTTTAACCTTCTTCCTTTCGTAGTTTAATGTTGTCTTGCTATCTTTGCTTCAAATAGATATTCTTCAGCTTATTTACAGACATGCTCCTTTGCGAAACCTCCTCCTTTTTCTAGACTCTAGAGACATAGATGTATATTATATGGAGTCATAATGTATGGAAGATTTACATTATATGAACTCCAGTATCGCTTTTATTGGCTGCTCCTCCCAGCTTTATATATCGACAAACTTTCTACAAACATTGGTTTAGGAAGAGTGGCTCGAAGTTTTGGGCTGTGGTGTGACCGAGCAAGAAATTTTGAAAAGAAACGGGAAACTTAACAATGTAGCTTGGGCCTTTGGACTTGGATTGGAGCGTCTCGCTATGGTTCTCTTTGACATCCCTGATATAAGACTCTTCTGGTCAAGTGATGAACGGTTTACCTCCCAGGTGATGAACTTCGTGTGGATATTACCCGTTGTGTTCAAAACTTATAAAATTCGATGCTGAAATTAAACTTTTCTCATCCTTTGAATTCTTTTTTTCCCACATTAAATGCTGCAGTTTGCAAAAGGAGAGCTCGGTGTCAAATTCAAGCCATTCTCAAAGGTAAAGAGTTACTGTCTGTATTTTCATAATTCATGTTCGTGTTTTAGGGATTGTTTTTTAATTCTCTATTCTATATTTAGCTCGAATGCTTGCTAGAACTGTGGACCAATGAAATTCAGTTTGAGAGACATTTTTACAAAGGATTAATGATGGGGAAACAAAATCTTGTTCTGCAGTATCCTCCTTGTTACAAAGACATGAGCTTCTGGATCAATGAATCATTCACCGAGAACAACTTATGTGAAGTTGTCAGAGGCATCGCTGGAGATCTTGTTGAAGAGGTATATCATTGTGTTTTCCGCTTTTATCTAAATTATGGTTTTTCCACTTCATGGAGCCTATTTTTCTTTTTATTCCGTTTTCAAAGATTCCGGCTTGTTTCACACTGTTTGTCATTCTCTGGTAAAGTTGTTTTATTAAACACTTAGGCTATCATTAAAGCATAAATGCCCCTCAAATCGTGATGATATGAATGATGAGATTCATGTTAACATTATCGTTGCCATGCAGGTGAAGTTAATAGACAATTTTACCAACAAGAAAGGGATGACGAGCCATTGTTACAGAATTGCGTACCGTTCCATGGAACGTTCTCTTACAGATGAGGAGATCAATGACCTGCAGGTACTATTATGTTCCACCATCATATGCCCTTTTTTTCTTCCTCCTTTGAACAATCCACTCATGCTTAAGAAAAACAACCCACGAACTTTTGCCCGGAGATGCATGAATTGGCTTAGTTTTGAAATATAGTACACGGCTCTCGCATCAGTTTCGCATTGTCTCGGTCATAGGTTGTTCCTCAATAACAGAGTGTGTGTGTGTGTTCGAAATGCAGTGGAGTGTGAGAGAAAAAGTGCAAAGCAAACTCAATGTTGTTCTGAGGTGAGAATGCCCCTGAAGAAGTTGTTGCAGGTGATGAACTTCCATATTGGAAAAGAAAAACTCTGTAAATTGATTGAACTTTTTCTTTCACTGTTTTGTTGAGATTATAACGCTGCTCGAATGACGACTCTCGATAATATTAAAATGGACTTAATAATAATGCTGCTATTCTTCATCATGAATCTTCTTTTAATTTTTTGTTCATTTCACCTTAGGAGCGGAATCTTTTGTTATGATATATGAAAATGCTTTTCAATAAAAACCGGAACATGATAGTTGAGAAGTAGTTGAAGAGATTGCAGACACAGACACAGACACCGTCACCTTCTTCAGTCCCTTCAACTCTCTGCGGATGGTAAAATAAGGTAACTTCACTTGGTCTGCCCCTATTCCCTGCATGTTCTAATACATTACAGGTCTTGAAGATATGATGATCTTCTCTGCTATATAATTTGATCTGGGCTATAGAACAGTTTTATTCAAGATTACATAACGTTTTCTCGCGCACAGCTGCAATGAGGGGATTAGAACTTGCTGATGAAGCGGTGGATGTGGCGAAGGATCTCATCTGGTTTTTCTTGGTTAAGGAAGTGGCCAACTCCTTCCATCACCACCGATTCCTCCAGCAATGGCACTTCCTCTCTGAACTTGTCTCCGCGTACGTATTCCTTCACTCCAGGCATTGCGTACACGAGATCCTCGTCCCCGATCACGAATTTCGTCGGCACCCTGATTTTGCTTCCCTTCCACGGCGCTAACAGCTCGCAGTTCCTGTCGTTGTTCGTCGCGGATGAATGTGCAGTTCAACGCATAGAGAATTTGGGACGGGATCATGGGATAGAGACAGAAGGTACCGATCAAGATTCCGGTAGAAGTTGACCGGTCCGGAGAATCCCGTCTTTTCGAACTTGGTGACGTAATAACGGACGTCGTCCTCGGATAGCCAAGGCGGTAGGGGGATCGGAGAGTCGGGAGAGCCCCAGATGTCGACGTTCCGGGGCAGGGTGAAGGGTTTAGGCTCGTTGTATGTGAACAGCGTTTTCAGCACTCTCTCTGTTCCTGCCTTTGTAAACTCAGACTCCACTTCTCCAGGTTCCTATCGTCCCATCCACCAAAAACACATGGTTAACGTTCGGTGCTTGGGCATGCCAAGAATCCTTGAATCTTTTTCTCCATATCAAAAAACCCTTTTTCTCAGAAAAAATCGCATAAAGTATGAACTTTTAAATTTTTGGCTAATGTCATGTCCTTACGACAAAATCTTGGAAATTATAGATAAAACTAGGTTGGCTGTTTCGGTTTCGGCTATTTTCAAATTGTTTTTTTTTTTAATTTTAGTTACGACCATCCCGGTTTTTGTAATAGATTTGATTTGGTCGGATTTATGGATAAAATGTTTTATTTTTAAAAAAAGAATTCGATTCTTTAGGTTATGTTTATATTCTACTTGGATTTATAAAAAAGGGGAATATGGTTAAAACAAATATGAATTTTTAAATTTGGTAAATAATTATATGAATTTTTTTATTTTGTATAAAAACACACAGACATTAAAAATTTTCGTATAAATCTAAACAAATTTGTATAAAAATATACACATTTTAAAAAATTTCGTATACAGCTATTAAAAAAAAATCAATTATACGAACCTGAAATCGGCACACACAGCAATCGTCGCCGTAGAATTTGCTAAGGGTGTCGACAACTTTCACCGTCGGATCCAATGGCGGAAAACAGAACGGAATACTGAGGTTGACCAGAGCTTTGACTCTATCCGCCCTAAACAGACAGAGATACCATGCCATAATCGCTCCCCAGTCATGACCGACGACGAACACCTTCTCTTCGTCGGAAGCCGTTACGGAGGAGATGACGTCGATTAGGTCTCCGACGATGTGGAAACAAGTGTAGGAGGAGATCTCCGGCGGCGCGTGGGAGTCACCGTAGCCGCGGAGGTCAGGAGCGACGGCGCGGAAGCCGTGGAGGAGTAGCACCACGGCTCCGTCTGTGGGACCCATCGCCGCCACGTGGATGTTGATGCCGTTTGTTTTCACCGTTAAGTGCTCTCCCTCCATTCTGCGCGCGCTCTCTCTCTCTATATGTCGTTATGGTTTGATCTCAAATGTCTATAAATATAAATTGTATAATACGGTGCGGTGTCATGGCAAAAAAATAAAAATAATGTGTTTTCCACAATTAGCATGTGTTTTTTATGATTTCCTTATTCAATGCATTTTTCTTCTAATCTAATTCTTGACTTTTTGCATTAAAGATTATATATATATATATATATATATATATATTTAAAATAATTATAAGTTATACATATATAATTCTTTTAAAACTATAAACTGCAGATTCCTTTTTCACATGAATCAAATCCGTATAATAAAAAATATAGGGTTAATGATTGCTAATATAAATTCATATACGTACGTATGTATGTATGGAATTCGGATAACAGTGAGATCCAAATTTAATAAAAAAAATTAAAATAGTTTTTTATTTTTAATTAATATCTAAAAGGTTTTGTAATTGAAAAAATTTAAATCAATTTTATAAAAAAAAAAAACTTTTTTAAAAAATAGATGTTCAATAACGATATTTTCTTTAACAAAATTTAATAAATATAAAATATACCTTTTAATTATTTCGAATAACCAAAATTTTCAACTATAAAATTACAAAACCAAAACCCAAATCCAACATACAAATCACCTTAATTTAAAAATCGAAACACTCGGGTAATTCTTTTGGTAACCTTATGGTATACTCTAAAACAATTAGACAAATTAAATAAACATCCAAAACAAGTTCCAACAAACAGTTCAATCAAAGGGAAAACAAGAAGTCTCCTCCTACTTTGACACCCACACTCATTAAGTCATAACTCAAAAATGACTTTGGCCAATTCTGCCAACGTGGAGATGATGATAAAGTTAAAATGTTATTCCTCACTCACATCACATCCTGTCTTCTCTCCTCCTGGGGGCACATGTGATGATGTCGTCCACTCGGAGAATCATCTCAGCTGCTTCTGTGGCCGACAGCAGAATGGCTTGCTTCACTTTGAACGCTTCGTAGATTCCACGCTCCGACATGTCTCCCACCTGTATGCAGGGTTTGGTTTAACATTTTCTGGGTTTAGATCAAAAGATAGTTATGGTGATTGTCGCTTACAGCTCCGGAGATCACATCAATTCCTGCATCAGACCCTTCATTGTGATGCTCCGCCCTAAGCTGGGCGACCAATTCCGCGCTGTCTAGACCGGCGTTCTCAGCAATGGTGGTCGGGATTGCCACGAGTGCACGTGAGAATGCTTCGATGGCGTGAGACTTTTTGCCAGCAGTTTTCCATGCCAACTCGTCAACTTCCTTCGCCATCACCATCTCTGGCCATCCGCCTCCGAGCACAACCCTGGTGTCGTTCATGGTCTGAGAAAGTACACACAAGGCATCGTGGAGTGACCTTTCAGCCTCATCCAGAACATGTTGGCTGCAAGAAGAACGAAACCCGAAAAGTCGGAAACATGTCAATGAGGGAAACAGTAAAAGGGTTTGACCACTTAACCCGAAATGTGAGGAAAATTGTACCTAGCACCCCTTAGAACGATTGAGCAAGCCTCACCCATCTCGACACCGGAGAAATGGATCAACTTGTCCTCACCAATCATGATTTCCTCGATGAGTTTGCAATGTCCAAGCTTAACAGACTCTGGGTTGTCAAAGGTCGAAGCAATCTCACCACCCGTAACCAAGGCAAGGCGTTCTATCCCATCAAAGTCGGCATGTTCAATAGCAAGTACACCCGCATCTGCAAAGAGTTCCTCGGGGAAATTGTAGATCAACTGCCTATTAACAAAGCAGTTGATCCCATGGCCTATGATCTTCTCGACTTTTTCTCTCATCTTTTCCTTCTCAGCCCCTTCAATCTCAGCAACCTTGGACATGGAATCCACACGCACACGTGCACCATAGATTTTCACTTTATCAGTATCCATTGCAGTATTAGCAACCAAAATCTTTGCATTCTCTATACGCTTTGGTTGTCCAATTCCAATCTTCTTGTCAAGAATGAACCTAAAAAAGATATAAAAAAAATGTCAGTTTAAATAGTTACAGTTACAGAACAATATGCCAGATGGTGGAAAGAAGAAAAAGCAAACAAGACAATGTAATATGCATCAAGCTTCTCATGAGTGCCTTAATTAAGCTACACAACAATTAATGAAAATGAGAAGCTCGTGAAAAACAGTATCCTAGTTACCACAATCAACTATATAAGAGACAGATCAATTTTTTGTCACAATAATAGATAGTTATCAGGAATCGGAAGCACTGGTAACTGATAAGTATTTACTTACCCTTCATCCAGAAAAGAATCCTTTAGGGAGCCTCCATGTTTCTTGATGATCTGAATAGCTTCTAAGTTTGTGCTACCCTGTTTGAAAACCAACTTCAGAGTATCAAAAAGGAACACACTTCTTGCATCATGCAGATAATCCAGCCAAATGATTTCATCCTATTTTTGAGACATTCATTAACCGAAGATCTTTCATCATCAAAGGAACATGTGTGTGTTTCAGAGGAAGACAACAAACAGAACAACACCTTGAGCCTCAAAACAGCATCGACAGCCATTTGTGCAAAATGTTCCTTGTCCTGTGAGAGAATTTTGGAACACAAGGTAGTCATTGCAATCTTCATCAAGTCTGACCTAAATTTTTCTGCACATGCATCAAACACAGCACGGTAATTAATCTTGTTTAACTATGTTCAACATGCCATAAATTGCGATTTAATAGACTTCACATGCCACAAAAGTTAACAGATTACTTCACTATGACAACCGTACAAGGTTTAGCTAGATATATATTTGATACCTGCATCCTCCTTGTTATCCATAACTCTTTTCAGTAGAGCATTACGCGCACATTCTGCAGCCATTCGGTAACCTAAGAAACCAAATAATGATTTTTATCGTAATTGCGTCATAACATAGATATGCAAATATACTAATTCCATTGACACTAGGATCCCAGATGCTAGAAACCCACCTGCTATTATCGTCATAGGATGAATCTTTGCAGCCACCAACTTTTCTGCTTCCCTCAGAAGTTCACCCGCCAAGACAACAACAGAAGTTGTCCCATCACCGACCTCATCATCTTGAACTTTTGAGATGTCTGAACATCAGATTCAATGACACAAATGGTGATTAAGTGCCGAGCATTATATTGAACAAAAAATATGCAGAAATAGAGCTGAATGCATACCAACAAGAACTTTAGCTGCCGGGTTATCTATGTGCAATGACTTCAAAATAGTGGCCCCATCATTTGTAACAGTGACTTCATGTCCTCTACCAGTAGATTGTAAAATTTTATCCTGACAAATGATTTATCAAGCAGAGATCAATATTAACCCGATTTTAAGAACACTTAAAGATCTCTTAATTCCAAAAAAAATGAATCGGACATACCATCCCCTTTGGCCCTAAGGTAGTCTTAACCAAGTCAGCAATTGCCATTGCACCGACAAATGATGCCTAGAAACAACAAAATCTATCAGCATTGGAGAAATAACTCAATGAATATGAACTCTGAGTATCTGCAGACTTAATCTCTTTGTGAGAGAAAGCTCACCATCCTTGCACGCTCTCCCTTCTCTTCACTAGCATCATCTTTAAAAATCTTGTCGATCTAAACACAAGCATCGAGTTAAATGACCGCAAAAGAAAATACGGGATAAATAAAAAAGGCGAGAAAAGGAAAGGAAATACCGCCATTGGCAAGAGGAGAACAAGGGTTCTTCAATAAGGAAGACCTTCAATCTGCAGTCAGCCAAAAGAAAAAACAGATCCATTCAAGTTAAAAGACAAAACCAAAGAAACAAGTAATAACAGCAAATGCCAAGCATCAAACACTCATTTCTGTAGTTGATAAATTTGCTACTTTCCCAACTACAGAAATGTTTCATCCTCGAGAAATCAAACGGCCACAAAAAAAAGCATGGACCTCATAAACCCTAAGGATCCATAGCGACAGAAACAAAACCAAATGAAATGCAACAAGAAATAACAACGAATGCCCTGAATCAAACAGCCATCTTTGTAATCTATGTCACCGCTGTTTTCCCGACTGCAGAAATCTTTCATCCTCAAAAAACAAACAACCGCAAAAAGAGAGCTCACATGCCCTAGAATCCATAGCGACAGAAACGAAATCAAAAGAGATGTAACAAGCAATAACAACAAATACCCAGGATCAAACACCCATCTCCGTAATCGGTACCATTGTTGTTTTCCCAACTACAGAACCATCGAGAAATAAAAAAGCCGCAATGAGAGCATACGCCCCATAAACCCTAAGAATCCATGGCAACACAAACAGGAAATGAGAACCCAGAAGGAGAAGTAAGGTTCACATAAGGAAATGAGATCTAACCTAACTTCGGACAAAGAAGATGAAGAAGAATTTCACTATCAATGGCAACAGAGAGATCGACGGCGATGGAGAGAGAACAGGTCTGGAAAGTTCCGAGTAGGAGTTCCCAGGAAATCTAAGGGTTCTCTATGTATATTCTCTTGAGGGAGATTGCAATGCGGCAACAATTATTGCTGCTACAAGTCGATTTTTTTTTTTGTACAATTCAAATATAGAATTTTTATGCATTTTCTAGATCTGAATTTCATAAAACTTAAGAATTTCATTTGCTCAAATTGCTCTCAAACATTCGTGAAGATGCGGGGGAAAAGGAAAGATCTTGTATAAATTACGAATTTAATTAAAAATTAAACTCTAAAAAAACATGAACTTTAAAATTTTCAAATCAACCCATGAAATTGCCTCCAATTTCTAAACAAAATATAAAGTTTTGTAATTTGATGATATTACAGCCGAATACGTAACACGGTTATATATGTACATGTGTATGCACGTATAAAAGCACTATAAACCACATCATATTTCATCATTCAAGATGCACAAGGATTCCCACCAAGTAAACGTAGAGTTCAATCACTCCAACAAATTGAAGTGGGCAACTCATGTTTACACACATAACAACACTAAGAACACAGGGAAACAAAACAAAAACCGATGCCTGAAGGACCAAAAAAGAAGAAGATGCTCGACATAACGGCGATTGAACTACGAAAAATCGAAAGAAATTCGTCGGAAATCTAATTACAATCAGTGAGCCTCACCAGAACAAACCCGTCGTGAGACAGAGGTTCTTGCCTCTGTTATGTCAGTTTTCCAAAGGAGTTCTGTCATCCGGGCCGGCGAGTGTGACCTGCATTTTCAGTTCAGGGAATTCATCGGTGAAACGAAGAAAAAAAAACATGAACTTATACCGTAAAAGAATTGCTTGGTATCATGAGATGGGTCGGATGTGATCCTCTGTTTTCACTACTCATACCCCATAGATAACTTACATTGCAGTCAAAGGCGAACCTCCGTGCAAGCATGATGGCAGCGTTTCTTTCTCTTTCAGACTCGAAAGCTATGACAAAGGAAATCCCTTTCTTCGCTTGCCAATACAATGCCTGCGCTGCAGCATTTCCGCCTCCTCTAACTCCGCATAGCTATAGAACACCATAAAGTGCTTCAAGAGTGAGCAAAAACTTTCATATACTCAGCACTATCGTGCTAACTATCAAAAATATCGGGTAAAGCAGTAAAAACCATGATATATTTCGGCTGTCTTTCCTGAAAGAAATTTCATGAAGGGAGCCAAGTTACCTGCATTGCAATAGAGTAGTATTCTTTTGCGATTACCGTCTTCCCCTTGCAAAGCTTTATTCTCATCTTACCCACGTGAAACACGTGGATAGATTCCGGTGGATGGTCTTCCCCGCTCATTTGGGTGACTACCACCTGCCACAAGAGAGAAAAGAAAAGGACATTTACTAAATTACTGATGGAAAGCCATTTTTTGAAGAAAAAATATACCCAACGGATGAGAAAGACATACATTGAAATCAACATCATGTTTCCTTACCAACGCCTCCACATAGCTACCCAATCCAGCAGCTGTTCCAAAAGAGGAGTGTATATACATGTTCATCACTACAATCTCTTATTTTTTTTCTTTATGAATTATTGCCGCGGAAAAAGGGAGGAAAAAGAAGGTCATAATGGTAACCATCAATAAAAGGAAAAACGGTTGCTGATCAAGGAAACAAACCGAGTGTCAATCATGGTGAATTAAAAAGATCCAATTTCAAGAAGCAAGATCACAATGAACCTGGATCAATCTTCCCGACTGTAGATAATGTAAATGAATGACCATCATAAAGAATTTCAGCATTCAAGGCTCGCCCGACATCAAAAGGCTCGGGAGCATAAGCTGGTTTTGTAGCACCTGAGGAAAAAAAGACGATGGATCTTTCAGTAAGAGGATCTACTGCATTTTGCAACACTCCAGAACGAATAGATTTGCCAGCTGTGATTATCTCATTCATATATATATCACCAATTCACTTTGGAAATTTCACAGTTAAGTTCAAGCATTAGATGCAAGAAACAATCTAATTATGTTATTAGGCTGGCTTCAGAACAGAGTCAATATGATAGAACCCACCCATCCATAATGGACCCAATTAAGTCTCAAAGCCCATAGGTAGAACTCACCCTAAAATCTAGCTTGTTAGGGGGAGGGTGCCCATGGTCTTATATACACTCAATTGTCCCTACATATTTCCGATGTGGGACTCACACAATAATCCAGTATTTTCAAGTTACTCTTGAATTCAGTAAAATTCACTGGTTTAAATCTAAATACTAAGTCCAAAGACAGCAACAAATGAAAAGACTAGTGCACCTGATATAGGCTCCTTCTTGCTGCCATCAGAAGATAACCGATACCATTGGATTGAACACTTGGAAATATCCGGGGCATCATCGGAGCAAGGCTTGATCCGCAAACAAGAACCTAAAGCTTCAGAGCCGTCTATTTCGTATAAAAGAGATACACCTTCCTTGCTCTTTCTGCACATTGCAAGCTGCATTACAGAGAAGCAAACAAAACTATATCAAAATTCATTGCTCTATCGCCCACAAAGCAGCTGCAAATAACACTATCCAGTAGTTAATGAAAGCACAAGGAACTATGACACGGTAAAATGAAAAATGAAACATGAGGCGTTCAACTAACCTTCTTTTGTAGTTGAAGAGAGTGTCTACATTTCTCAGCAAGCTGATTCCTCAATGCTCGAAGCTCATACTCCATGTCCATTACCTGAAAAATGTGCATCCAGCTTGATCAGTCAATAACTACAGAAAACACACCACAAAAGGTTCTACTAAGAAAACATTTATTCATGAGTCAGCTTCAAAAGCAAGAAAACCACCTTTCATCTACTCACCTTGCTTGGCTGATGTAGCATTTTAATTCGCCTAGCTTCTTGAACTTCCTTCATTAACTCTTCCATGTCCTGGGATAAATATAAAACACATAACTATAGCAGACAAATTACGAGAGACATATATACATGACTTTATGCATACAAATCAGTGAATACAGAATTTATCCACACTTGCAAATATGAAAGCAGCACAAGCTGGAATGTCTTAAAAGATGCATCAATTACCATCAGAAGAATATAAGTCTATGAAAGAATAAATATGAATAAGACAGTGGATTTACAATTACAATTCCTTATAAAATACCTGCTTCCCAGAGACTCGAGACATTCTCTCATGCTCATGTATGGCTTCTTCCACTCTCTGCACAGCAGCTCTTGCACTCTCAATCTCAGCACGAGCAAAAGCTCTTTCCTCATCAACAAGTTTCTTAGCATCCTCTGAAGCCTAGTTAAAGGGTGTTACCACTAATTAGCAAGCATAACGGAACACCTGTGCACATTGAGACATTTCTAAAGACAGGCCAATTGGTTCAGTTGCAACATAACGGATGCCAGAAGAACGATACAAATGAAAAACCAATAAACATAAGCAATTATGGGAATCCCGTTTTCCTTCGTCGTCGTCTTCGTTTTCTATATTTTTTTTCCTTCTGGGTATGAGCGTTGTTCTTTCGAGCTTGACAGAGTGAGTTTTGTTGGGATTTTTGCAGAATGTGTGAAAGACTAAAACCCAAATTCAGGAGACCCAGTTCGGCGGAGGCGTTGAAATCGCATAATCCGCCTCTCTTCTCATCCATCCCACGGAAATTTTTCGCATTCCTTCTTTTCTGTTGGGGCCAGAAGCCCAGAGGAACCGCTTAAATGGAAATGAATGAATCAAATAAGAGATGTGAAATTGATTATTCAGAATTATGTCTTGTAAGGAGTGACAGCCAACTGGCAACTCACAACAGCAGACAAAACAGTAAACAAATTAATCCGACCTACCCTGAAACCTATCAAGAGAAAATGAAACCACGATCCTGTTCTCTAAATGCACAAACATGTAATATGTCAGCAGACAAATTATACAGCTCAACGAAGGTAAGAAAGGAAACCCAAAATTCGTCCCGGAACATAATTTACCTGTTTCAGAACAGCAGCCAATTTCTTTACTTCTGCTTTCTCTTGGAACAGTTCTCCTTCTCGCAAAATCAGCTGAACAGCAAAAGCTTCGACCTAGCAGAGACAACAATTACCAAACATACATCAACATTGGGCAAAGCAGAGGAAAGGTTATCAGCAAGAGTTTACTATGCAAATTCTGGAAAATCCGAGGGCTTTTTTCTAGACGAAAAAACAAAACCAACTTTACTTCTTCAGACAAGCCAAAAACAAGATACATTCACTTCAAGAAGACTCCAGCTATGAATCTATTAGGATTTACATACCAACTAACTTGGGAGTCCCACTCCCACAACTGGTAAAAGAGGATTGATGTGGTTGGGCTTGTTAGGCCCTTAGGTGCCCCCTTCCCTTACAAGCTAGTTTTTGGGGGTTAGTTCTACCTAGGTGGCTCTTACCAAAATCCCAGTGGAAATAGTTTGGATCGGATCGCAGGACAGGAATCCTTTAGTAAAAGGAAGTAAAACACTAACCATGGAAATGGCCTCCTCTACATCATCCTTGTTTCTACCAGCCACACGTCCTTTTAGAGACTCCAGTGCATCTCGAAGTTTCTTTAGCAGAACATGTTTTTCCAAAGAGGCTGCTTCTTTGAGTTTTGCCTGCATTCAACAGTGTCAGCTTAGACCTGAGTATAGTACAATTAAATCCCCGATTACTACACAAATAAACTGCCTCATTTCACAGAAAACCTCATAATTCTGGCAGATAAAGTCAATTTCAGAAATCAACCCATCGGTCCAGATAGATTTATTTTACTCAAAAACAGACCACTATAAGTGATGTGTTTAAAAACCAGTATCCAAGACCTGATTAGGAGAACCAGGCAACAAAGTTTTACCTAGAATATGCAAAATCAAGCCATATCATTTTTCTAGAGTAATCATGAATACTAACTGCTATCCTGTATTGCAGCAAAGGGGCATTTCATTCTACAATAATCCAGTACTAACAGGGAACTCTACACTCTACAGTGCAATTTCCAGAACCTTACAACAGATTGCTAACTCACAATTTCTTTAGGTATAAAATCTGACAACCTCTTGAACACTAATCCAGCCAACAAAAACTACGGACAAACAAGTTCAGAAGTATCAAGTAAGTGTATATATCAGACCTCTTCAGACAGCTTAGCAGCTGCAGCCAAACCCTTCTCGAACTTATTGGCAAGATCGCGAACAGACAAACGTGTTTGCTGCTCCAACAGCTGTGCTGTCTCACGGGCAACAACTTCCCTCATGGACAGCACTTTGGGATCATCTTTTACATCAAATATCTGATCATTGGTCCCAATTCTATAATTAGGAAATCTACTAGAAGCAAATTTCACATCTGCTGAAACTGCAGAAACAGCATCCTTTTGCACCGAATCTCCCAAATCAAGTGTAACCCTTGTCATTGTCAAAAGACTGACTAATCTGTTCATCAAAAATATACATTTATGATTAGAGCTGAATAATTTAACAGAGCAATGGTATAGAGGATGACATCTGACCCTAAAAGGCTCCAACCCGTAATTTTCCGAGACAATTCAGGCAATCTGTAGAAACGGGCAAACATAAATTTAGGGAATTTTCAAGTAAGAATCTCCCAAGGTATGAACACAATTTCCCAGAAAATTACCGCCGCAGGAAAAATCAGGGAAGAGCTCTCTGGGTAATGAGCTAATTATATATATATATATATATATAAAAAGCCCTAGGTAAGCAAAATCCAGAGTAAGCATAAACACCCAAAAACAAATTTGTGATAAAATCCAAAAAAAAAAACTCTGAAGATAATGCAAAACACCAAAAATCAGAAAACGAAATCACCAACGGAAAAAAATCCAAACAATGTCGGAAATTTTGGCCCGGAACTTCAAAAGAACGAGACCGCGTCGGCAAAGGAAACCTCACCCGTAAATGAAGCCGATCCTTGGATCAGATGCAACGCCTTTACCTCAAAAATGTGAAATTGAAGATCATTGAAGAAGAAGAGTTTGTTAGAGTCGCAAGCTTTGGCTTTTGTGAAAAGCAATGACAGTGAAAAATGGTGTTTATGGTGGAAATCGGGAATTTAAGTTTTTCTTCATTAATGTAGAATTATTTGTATTAATTTAACTTATGAACAAGAGAATGTCTTAATTGAATAATTTCACCTTATTGTGGCCATACAATCTTTGCCGTTCTTAATTAAGATTATTTTTAACAAAAAAAAAAGCTAAGATTGTTTCAATCATAACATTTTTACATAAATAAAAAATAATGACATCATAATTGATTTCTAATCACCTTGTTAATTTCTTATTATGATAGAAATTGTTTTAAATTGAAGTAACATTGTATTATCTAGTCAGATACAAAAACAATTAACTATTAAATATATATATATATATGAAAATATAAAAAAATATGGTATTAGCCCAAAATCTAATATTCCAAAACTTTAACATCAAATCAAATCAAATGAAAATTTATGCTACATTTAGATTTGAAATTTGTAATAATGAGTGTGTGATTACAGGGAGCTAATTGAAAATTTAGTCAAAGGCAAGGTGGATTTTTGAATTAATTTAGTCGTTGGCAGGTCACATGCCCAACAGTGCGCAAGACCCTTGTTTGTGATACAGAACAAAGACAAACAAACATCACTGTCTCGGTATCAATTTACCGTTTTGACCTACTTCTTTTCTCATTTCAACTTTTAAATACCAAACTCGGACAACATTTCACTTCTATCTATACAAAATTCGAATTTAACCACTATTTTAAACTAAAATAAATAAATAAATTTGGTATTATGATATACAATTTTTTTTCAAATTAAAAAAAAAAAATACCGGCGCGTGTGTAGACGTTCTCGATATTTGGATGGAAGAGACGTTCATGAGCATTAACATCGCATATGCATGAAGAAACACACCTTCATCACGAGGGTACAACAAAAAAATAATTTTAAAAAATCTCCTCGAGATTAAAAAAAAGTAAAATTCAACTACAAAATTAGAAAGAAAAAAAAAAGATTAATTATTTTTTTATGATCTAAACTTTGATGTGGAAGTAATCCTGGTCGAAGTGATGCAGTCGAACGTATCCATCTTCACCTCCGCTCGAGAAGCTGAAAGTTAAGGCAACAAAGAAAAGTCGCATAAATTCCGAAAGAACTAACGGAAAACCGAAATGAGTGGAAATGGATAATCCATGCGATCGGTCCCAAATAAATTTGGGATTAAGACGACGTTAATGTTGATGTTGAAAGAAAAGTTGCATAAAATTATAAAACGTTCATGTTTTGAGCAAAATCTACAATACCGTTTCTGTCTCTAAGGCTATGTATGATTCGAGAGAAGGCGTACCTTTTCCCGTCGGGATTGAATGCCAAAGCATTTATAGGACCAAAGTGGCCCTTAACACCCCCAATCTCCTCTAGAAGAAGCTGCCAAAACCCAACAAAATACAAAGGAATGTGAATGACACAAACTATCATGCATCAACCGCATAATAACAGTTTTCAGGAGAGCCACGTGCACTAACCTTGTCATAAAATTTGGCCTCGAATTTTCCGGCGCGATGATCAGTGGTCGTGACAGCTGATGCATCTTGACCACCTCCAAGCACGACCTAGATAACAAAAATTGGATAAGCAACGAGGCACTCACATCAAAGAGGAGACAAGAAACAAAGAAGAGTTCATCTAATAATCGCCATACTGTCAACTGAACTGACAATGGTTTCAGAAGAAACATGCCATGATTAGATGAATTCAAAGCAAAGATATGTTAACACAGTCAAGTACCAAGGGCATCTAAAAACTCGTTTGCTAATAAGATTGACAAAACTGCATTCATCTCCCCAAGCCGATAGCTTTCAGGGTTTTTGTTAGAGTCCCACGTCGGAAATATGTGGAGACAATTGAGTGTATATAATACCATGGACACCCTCCCCCAACAAGCTAGCTTTTGGGGTTGAGTTCTATCCATGGGTTTTGAAACTTAGTTGGGCCCATTATGGATGGGTGGGTTCTATCAGTTTTCAGAAACAGTTGCAAACAAAACTATTTTAAAAGGCCAAAATATACATACATGGTCGAGAAGTGGAGACATAGTGACAGCATTTACTGGTCGTTCGGTAACATAAGTCTTAATAAGAGTCAGTGTTCTGGTATCCCAAAGCTGAAAGAACAAAACAGAAAACACTGTCAGAAGATATACAATCAATAAGGACACGATTGAATAGAAGACTGTGGCTGAGAAAAAGAAACATGCCTTTGCAGATTTGTCGAGTGAACCTGTGAGGAAGTGTGAACTGTCCGCTGCTTTACACAGAGAGGTTATGGTCTTTTTGTGACCGGCTTCCTTATCTGATTCTTTGAGCAATTTTCCAGTCTGGAAATACCATAAACAAAACAAAGTGAGCACTTGGATTAGCATCTGAATGCACAAGCACCAAAACATTGAGAGCCCTCGGTGGAATCAGAACACCCAAACTTGTAAAAGCAGCAAATTAGGAAAGGTGATAACGGATAACACAAACTGTTACCTCAGAATCCCAGATCCGAACTACAGCATCTTCACCAGCACTAATGATAGTTCTGTTCAGGGGTCCCCAAACAGCTCTATTTATCCTCCCCTGAACGCCCTTAAGGACAAGCACGGATTCTGCAACTTCTGCACCGTTAAATACAATAATTTAGTGTTACGTCAATGATATAAATGACATTAGGAAAGTTCGAGGTTCACCAAAATAATCACCTAAAACATAGACTAACGGGGTGTAGTGTGTGAAGGAGGTTATGAAGCACAAAATCAACGAAGTTAACAAGGCAACGATCTATTCCAATTATCTGCTAGGAAAATCTTCTTAGGTTAATGAGGATCTGTTAAGGAAAATGCTAGTGCTTTCTTTCTGTCATTGGTCACTATCCACATATACATAATATTCCAGCTTAGATAATATAGTAACTGGAAGAAAAAACAGTTAACTTACGGTCTTCAGGGTCTCTTGCAATGCGTTTCACATGAATAGCAGAGGAGAGATCCATGAAGGGGTCAGTGGTAATCACCGCAAGCTTATCCCCAACAGCAAAATCCACAGACCTTGCAGGAGAACCAAAATTGAACGTGTACAATGGTTTCCCCGTTTGCACGTCCCAGAGCTTTACAGTCTGATCAGCACTACCAGTAATAAGCCTCGCCGAATCTCCTGGAAACCCACGTCACTGATAAGTTAAACACTGCAAACAAAACATCGATAGCATAACAAAAACATTCACTTTGAAGAAGTTGACAACTAAAGTGAGTTTTTAAAAGATGAAAACTAAATGCTTATGTATTACACATGAAATGGCTTTTTTCTCTCTAGGAAGCACCAAGCTCAAGGTTCTAAACCTGATTTCCCTCTCACTTCCGTACGTACAAACAGACCATAACCCAATGTTCAATCACCAATCAAATGGAAGTTGATTTGTTTTAAAAACATAAGGGAAATGAACCCATCCATCAACAGGACTGGAAAGGAAAAAAAGCATACTTCGGAACGAAAATATCCTATATGGTACATGAGTTAACTCCATGACTAAAACCCTCCAGAATTCATACCTCAGAAAGGCATAACTCTCGGAAGAAAAGAAGAAGAAGAAGAAAACACACACACACAAAAATTATGGTTCATTTACTTCCACCACAAATTAGATTAATCAATTATCTCAAGTCAGAACAACTTCCTGATTCAGACACCGATTTAGCGACCCTCGGTGCCCAAAAACACCTCATAAAACCAAATGAAAATAGGAAAAGACAGCACGAATTAAGCCGACCCGGCAAGCTTAGAGACATAGAAAACACATAAACAGCATCAACGCCGTCTAATTTCACAACTTCTGATACCCTTCAATCCCAGTAACCAACGGAACAAAACTAAATCGGGAAAAGAAAAACAAATGGGAGCCGGAGATTTACTCGATACATCACAGCACCAAACGGCACCGTTGTGACCGCGATAGGTTCCAAGGCGCTCGCCATTGTCGGCGTACCAAACAGTCGGAGTATGATCCTTTGCGCAGGAGAAGAGCAGATCTCCATCCTTATTGTACTTGAGGAACGTCAATGGCCGTTCATGGCCCTTCATCAAAATCGGCCTCATCTTCTTTCTCGATCCTGAACTTGATTCCTTCTAGGGGATTCGAAATTTGGGGGATTTTGGCCGAACTATGAATGTCGCGGCAAGAGGCAAGGCAAGTACACCGAGGAAATCTGAAAACCTAGAAGAATCGGCCCTGAGGGCATTATGGTAAATTTATTTATTCGCTACTTTTCTGGTTAAACTAAACCGGATGATATGCCGGTAAAACCGATTTCTATTAAACCGACTTAATCCGGTCCAATGAATGGCAAAACCAACAAAAAAATCGCAATAAAACCGGCTTATGCGTTTTGTCTAGGCCGCATGAAATAATTCAAATGAGTTTTCCTATAAAAGAAACAAAATATATGAACTTTCCATTTTCAAAATAAAAATATAAAGTAATATCTAAAATATGAATTATGTATTTTCCTAGAAAACAATTCTCCTAAATTTTTTTATCTCACATTTCTATACCTATTACCTAAGACTCTGAATTATGTATATATATATATATATATATTCACGCATTCCTGGTAAAATGTCAAGTTATAAATCAGGTTAATTCTGTATGTAGATATTTTGATTAATTTCCGCCACTCAGTTCTTTGGTTGAAAGGCCCTAGCTTAGAGTTCATTTTTTTCCCCTATCAAGCATATATATAATTGTGATATGTGAATATATTGCATGCAAACGGACAACTATTGTTATTCATATATATATGTCATGCATAGTATTGGCAATTCAAATGAATATACGAATAAACTAATGTTTGGATGGATGTAGTGTCTGGAGAGCGTTTACGTGTCTCATCAACAACGAGATGCTCATAAATATCAACTCGTAGGAGAGGGGGGGGGGGGTGTAAGAGAGACGGCATGCACCCCAAAACAAATTTGTGATAAAATCCAAAAAAAAAAACTCTGAAGATAATGCAAAACACCAAAAATCAGAAAACGAAATCACCAGGAGAGGGGGGGGGGGTTGTAAGAGAGACGTCATGATGACGAAAGACAGTGACAGTTTTAGAAATGCAACCACGAGAGAGAGAGAGAGAGAGAGAGAGAGAGAGAGAGAGAGAGAGAGAGTTGGCGTTACATTTATATAATAAATGATAATTATTGTCTTCGAGGACCGAAAGTAAAAGCCACCGACCTACCCTTATGACAATATTTCCAGCAACTCCTTTAATGGTCTCACCGTTTATTTTTTTTTTTTATATTTCCCGTCATCATTTTTTTAATCCTTTTCAAATTTGGAACACTTATTATTTATCATTTGCTAAAATATGCCTTAAAGTATTCTTTTTAGATGAAAATGAGTTATACGCGTTCTTAAAGATTGGCTTGGCATTATTAATTAATAAAGAAAGTACTGATCACAAGGATCAAGAGAGAAGAAGATTACCTTATTGATATCCACATAAAGAAATCTCGTTGTACAAGCACAAAAACCAAACAATCACTAGCAAGGAAGAAAAAAGTGCGAGTGGAAAGGCAAATGCTGATCATGTTTTCCTGTTCCTTCAACTCTAATCCCCCAGATTAGACCTGCAAATCCCATATGATCAGCCTGAGGAGGAGGAGGAAGATCGCATCCCACCACATCACCATCGTCGATTCTACATGTTCATCCAGAAAGGGAGATACAGAAATGGGTCCTTCAAGGTTCCGTATGTTTGCCCTTTTCTGATTCCAGAGATGTTTATCTTTGCTTTTTATCGGTTGTGCAAAGGGTTTGGTCCATTGTAGACTCTCCTCTTGTCATCTGCAAAGACATCACCGTTGCTTTTTGATCCTGACGAAGATCCTCCATTGATGGAGTTTGGGAGATGATGATGACGATGATCTAAGGCTGACCCATGTTTGGTATTGGCATGTTTTGGAGACCCATTCGGGAAAGATGAAGTTTTGCCCAAGGAGAGAGAGACCAAGAAGATGGAGAAGAAGCAGAGGAACAAGAGGAGCATGGAGAAGAAGCAAGCAGTTTGGTCTTTCTTTCTCAAAGATCCCATCTCTCTGTTTCCCTTATTGACCATTGTCTGCGTGCATAAGGAAGTGTCTGTTTATGTGATGGTGAGATTGTGTGTGCGCGTGTGTATATAGTGAGTATGTGTGTAAGTATGTGCTTACTGTATAAACTTGTATATCATGTGTGTGTTTGTTTTGTGGGTTTTTGGCTGAGTTTGGGGACAGAGCTCTGAAAATGAGGGAGAGAGAGTCAATGAAGAGAGAGAGAGAGAGAGAGAGAGAGGAGAGTCAAAATTCATAGGGTTTGGTGCTTCTTCAGGGAGGATATTAAATTTTTTGTAAAGGAGAGAAAATAGTGGGAATTTATTACATATTATATTACCACTTTGTATACATAACATCCGGTTATAGGAAGGGACATCCTCGGAACACACACACACACCACCAGTTAATGTCTAAATCTGGAATTAAACCAAAGTTTTATAACTCTATGATTTCTCAAAGACAAATACGGAAAAGGCCAATAAGAAAATACCAAAAAATACAAAAATAAAGGGGAAAAGTGAAAAATGTCTTTGCAAGAGGATATTTTGAGCATACACATTGACATTGCACATATTGGTTGACATCCTTCCATAAAATTTTGAAAACTATGGTTAATCCTTTTTAATATTTTTAAAAAAAAATACAAGATTAGCTTCAGTATTTTTTATTTTAAAACTTTTTGTATGCAGATTACTTAAATTCTCATAAATTTATGACAAAACAAACGTTTTGACACGGACCCAAAAAAACTTGAACTAATTAAATAGTATAAAATAACCGGTATATTATTAGTTCCATTCATAGAGATTTTTTTAAAAATCTAATTTACAAAAACTAAATAGATTATAAAATCTGAAAACCCGATCCAACCACAGAAATTCTGTTTAACAAAAGAATAAATTTAATCCAATTTGGTCTGACTCGGTTTTTTTGTCATAATTTAGAGATTCTATTGAGATCTAGATCAAAATTATATTAAAAAAAATCAAAACTGAATTAAAATCGATTAGATTCAATTAGCTTCGAATCGAATTTATTTCGGTTAAATTCGAAATAATGAACCCTAATTTAAACAAATAACAAAATGGGATAATATGAAAGTTTATCTGTGAACAATTTTTCCTAAACCGAATGTAACCTAAATCTAAACGAAAACCGAATAAACCTAACACAGAACACGACCCACTTATCCGGTGGCCAGTGCCGGGTTTCCTTCTGTTCAGCAACTGGAAACAGCGAAATCGAAATCAAAATTCAAAATTTTGAAATATGGGCAACGACGAAGAAAAGGAGAAAGAGATAGAGGGAGAAGAAGAAGAGATAGTTTGCTTGGACGAATCGTTCTTCATTAACGATGAGTAAATGCTAAAACCCTTGTGTTCAAATCAGTTCGATATTTGTTTTTTTGTCTGATCTGATTACATGAAATATGACGAACCAGAGATGTTTGATCGTCTTGCTTTTGCTGATGCAGTTACCAGCTGACGAGGTTTACGTTCGGATCCCATGTTCTTCAGCTTTACTGTCTCCAATCTGCTTCTAGTGAGTTTTTTTATTTATTTATTTTGGTACGCATGTATGTAAGCTTCCTCGAAGGATGTTTCTAGCATAAAAAATTCTGGGTTTTTGGTCTCGTGGTGAAATTGGATTGCTTGACATAAACCCTTTCTGTTTAGTTGATCAATGTGGGGAGTTTGAATTCTGAATGATCTGAGACATAGAACATAACCCATTTCCTGAAGTTCTTGATTTTCAATCTGAGACTCCATTGATGTGATTTTATGGATTTCTGCTGTACAAAGTGGGTTATGTTTGAGAAACCATGGTAGAGGACTCGAACTATACCTGGGAGATTTGTGGAATACTCTTTACCCAAAAAATGAAAATAAAAGTGGACTGTTTCTAATTTCTTGCTTTTGTTCATCGTCACCCTTCAAATGGAGTTCATTCTTGTTTGTTTGGAGTATTCCACAGCTCTTTCCTGGTATCGTGTCCTAAATTCTTGTCTTGCAGCCGATTTTGATTTAACGGGACAGTTGGTGTGGCCTGGTGCTATGCTTATGAATGATTACCTCTCCAAAAATGCTGAGTTGCTCCAAGGCTGTTCTGTCATTGAGTTGGGTTCTGGCGTTGGTATGTTGCCATCTCATCTGTGATCCCTGTAATTTTCCCTTAGATCGTAACGAGTTTGCACATCTTGTAAGTCGTAGTAGTTAATGATGGTCTAAGAGATGATGCATGCGCTTGCAAATCGTCGTTGTGCTAATTCGTAATATCATGTTAGTACACTCTCATATCTGTTTTCCCGACTTTTGTTTTAGCGTATCTTGGAGAGACATGCTTGAGGAAGTAACTGAGCGGTTTGCTTGAATGCTCGTCTAAAGGCTTTGAAATCTTCTTTCTGGTTTAACTCATGTGCATTGCCTAAACTGCTATCTCTTGTGTACGCAGGTATTACTGGAATCCTCTGCAGCAAGTTTTGCCGTAAAGTTGTTCTTACTGACCATAACGATGAAGTTCTCAAGGCAAGGTCGTTTCTCAGAAGATTCTTTCCAAGAAATCTTGATTGTTAGAACCCATAATCGAATTTGTTGAATACGATTTTCAGATCCTGAAGAAAAACATCGACTTCCATGACTCATTAAGAAGCCCTGATTCCCCAGTTGGTGAGAGGAAGAAAATCAACCATACTCTGTTTCCTCATGCTCATATAACTTGATGTGCGCTGTTGACAAATTTTTTTTAACAGAACTAGAGGCTGCAAAGTTAGAATGGGGACATAAGTGTCAGCTTGGTGAAATTTTACAGAAACACAATGGTGGCTTCGATCTTATACTTGGAGCTGACATCTATATCCTTGTCATCATAAATCTTGCAGTTCTCTGAATCACGGTGTTTATGAAACAAAAAAACGAAACAAGATCCTCAATGAGAAGTGAAATCATTTATCACTTTTGGATTTTGACCCCTTTATCCACAACATTTTGTTGGAGTTTGCTGATGTTCTTGGGTCACCGTCTCTCCTCGTGCAACCCATCTGGCATATGGATCGTCCGCTGTTCTTTTTTGAAGTTTCGCATTAGATTTTTTGCAAATTGGTTTTAAATCTTGTATCTTTACATATGCTGCTTGATGCCAGACTTATCAGATGGGGAAAAAAAACTCGTCCTTGACAGTACATAAGTTTTCAGCAATCGAGCATTCCACCGCTGTTTGACACTGTGGAGCAGCTTCTTCGCACGAGGGGCCATGGGAACTGCAAATTCATATTGGCATATGTATCTCGGGCCAAGTTGTAAGCGATTCAGCTCAACGTTTTCGCGTTCCTCATATCATTTTTGTTCGAGGTGTCTAGAAATTGTTTCGAAACGTTTTTTTTTCCCCGCAGGATGGATTCCCTGATCGTGGAGGAAGCTAACCGGCACAAGTTGAGGATGAGTGAAGTTTCCGAGACTAGGTGCGTTGTGGGGAACTTGGAAGGAGTCATTTTCGAGATCACTCTTCAGTAAAACGTGTTTGAAGAACTCAAGACTGGTTTCACTTTCAGACCGTATGTGTTCATGTTGAGCTGCAAGAATTTACGTGGTTTTTTTTTGGATGAATTCCGAATTGAAATTATGTATTTTATACTGATAATCATATTACAAGAAATTTTTTGGATATTCTTTATCTAGAAATTTTTAGTTCTTGGTATTGAATGTCATGGTGATGGTTTTTTTCTAATAAAGCTTGCGATATATATATATATATATATATTTGGATATCTATTTATTTGATAATTTTCTAAGATTGTATGAGTATTAAATATTAAATATCGACACAGTTTTAATCATATATATTATATAAATTGTAAAAATATAAATGTTCTGTAAAATATTTCTTACATTGAAGTTTATAAACTATTACGCAGGAAATATGTCATAAATTATTAACGACGCGTTGATGACACGCGAGGGTCCGAGGGAGTCACTTCCTATTTAAGGCAAAGACGACGAAATTGCACGAAAAGATATCGTTGGCTGAAACCTAGATTGGGGAAAAAAAATAGACGGATCTTCCCAAAACCCTAACGTGTGTATCTCTTCTCCCAAATTTCTCTTCGATCTCTGTTGTTTGACCTCAATCAAAAACCCTAATCGAAACTGAAAGGAGGATTATCCGATTGCAAAACACGCAATCTGGTCCTCTCTTTTTGTTCCTCCTCCGGCAGCGACGAATCGTCGTCGGTAAGTCTATACTTTGGTGAGGTTCGTCATTGACCGTCAATCAATCCTTTTTTAATTTTGTTTGATTAGTTTGAGAGAATGTGTGTTTGATCAAGTCGATTGTCCATGGAACGGACTAGGAGGAAAAAGGGAGATAAAAAAAGTGGAATTTCTGCGAAATTTGTTCTGGATTTAATTGAATCCAGATACTGTGAGAATCCTTTTTCTCGGGATTTATCTATGGAATTGTGAGAATGGATATTGTTTGTTTCGTCTACCAAACTGAAAACACGGTTTGAAATAAGTCTATTGATTTCCATTGGGGAAGAAAAGGATGATTAGTTCATAGATTTAAGTTGTATCCAGTGAAATATTGGGAAGCTCGAGGTAAATTGATCAAATATAAAACCTGCAGAGAAGAGTATTTGTGTGCTTTTTTTTTGTCCCTGGAATCTAATAGAATTGCTGCAACAGTCATTAACGAGCCATAAGTCTCTTATGTGAGCTGAAGAGAGATTGAAAGAAAAGGGTTCTATCTTCCTTTTCGTTTTAAGTAACGTTTTTTCTCTGGTCATGTGCAGCTGGTTGTGGTATCTATTAGATCATGGGATCTGAAGAGAAGAAATTTGGAGGTAAGGATATGTTTTTCAATTTAGGCTTGTCTCTGTTTGCCTTTGATAGTGAATTTGGGTTCACAAAATTTAGGATTTCACTTTAGTCCTAAGATGGCCCTTTTAGGTCAATATCTTGGGTTTTCATTTTATGGGCAAATATCATTGATACGACGTTGTTCTAGATTAGTCCTAGTTTTCCATGCCTTCCTCCTTAAAAATAATGAGATGCATACTATCATCTTTGGATCAACAGGGCCAAGAGAACTGACTGGGGCTGTTGATCTTATCAGCCGCTACAAGTTATTGGCTCACCATGACTTTTTCTGTAAGAGGTCGCTTCCATTCGCGCTCTCGGATGCACATTATCTTCACAACTTGGTGGGTGACACAGACATCAGAAAAGGGGAGGGCATGCAGCTGGATGAGCTCGTTCCCAAATCTTCCTATGCCGGGGAGACCAATTCTCATATTCAACCTTTTGCTCTGGATGTCCTCCGAGATGCCTTCCAACTGCAGGAAACTGCTCACGTTCAGTTGCCTCCTGTAAGTAGTTTAGTATTGACAGCCTATATTTTTTGTGTTCGGTGGTAACTCCCTTGACTGGTCAGCCTTGACTAGTCAGCATGATCTTTCATCATTTTTAGGATGAAAAGGGGGTTCCTACCATTGCATCAAAATCAAGGAGTGAATCTAAAGATAAAGAGAAGAAGCACAAAAAGCACAGAGATAAAGAGAAGCGGAAAGATAAAGAACATAAGAAGAGCAAGCACCGGCATAAAGATCGAAGTAAAGATAAAGACAAGGAGAAGGACAAAAATGGTCATCTTGATCCTGGTGATCAATCAAAGATACGCCAAGAAAAGGTTAGGAGATAGTTTTACTACAGCTGAGGTTTATATACCCACTGAAACTTGGATGATGATTGAAAAAACACATTCTATTCGAAGAAAAACTCCCCACTTCTTGGTGGGTAATAGATTTGAAAAAATGTCGGGACAGAATCCTTTTTTTTTGCTTGCGGGTATCCCTTTCCTTCAATGTCTGTATATGCTGCTTGCTTTTTATGCTCTGAGATTTTATTATATCTTAATGGTTTACTTTTCACAAGTTTCTCATGGCAATAAAATTTCAGAAAAGGAAGCATGATGGAGATGAAAGTCTTAATGGGCACACCAAGAGCAAGGTAAATAATATTTTTACCAAGTTTAATGCAGATTCCTTTTCTTTAGTATCATGTACGCATCATAAGAAACTAATACTTAAGTGTGTTTCGGTATTGTTCCTCCTCTGATGTATTTTGTGATCAATCTTTCACAGCATAAGAGCTCTCGGCTAGATGCGGTCAATGTGACAAGGGTACTACGCTGAATGCAAGGCATTACAATTTGCTTCTCGAGTAGATCATAGCCCGACAAAGATTGGTCAACTTGCCCTCGTGCAGATTAAACTAGGTAAACCCCCCAATTCCTGAGCACATTCAACAATCCTCGGGTAAAAAGGCGCTGTCTAATCATCGTCGAGAGGGCAGGTTGAGTAATCTTTCCAGTCTGGAGCATGCGTATACATATCTACGATCCTTGGTTGTGAAAAAAGGGCGTCCATCGATGTAGGGCAAGTTTTGTTTTCGCTTTTCTGATGGGTTCCAACGATCAGCCAAAATAACTCTCGTTTTTAGCCCTTGGAAACGGATGATTGATTATTCATGTCCCGTGGTCTCTGCGAGACTCGCTATATTGTCTTATGTCATCACACTATCACAACTGATCTCGACACGCAAGGCTGATTATGAATCATGTAAATTCTTTGGAGTACCGAGCAAAATTTTGGTAAAAGACCATCGCATATTCATGTTCTCTGTTACGTTCACGCTCTTGTCGTACACAGGGAATTATGGTGGTTGAATGTCTGAAATCGAGTATTCTTTTGATTCATGAGTTGAATGTCCGAAATTTTGGATGACGGAACAACTGTAGTAGATCTGTGGCCAGCAAAAACTCGATTTTTTAGGTTTGAATTCGGATTTTTAGATGGAAATTATAGGTCTCGCGATGTGAGGGGTGAGCAAGGGAGAGGTTGTGAGTTTCAAAATGTTTTGAAATTTGGAGATTATGGATTTCAACCAAAAATCTTGACTTTCTTTAAAAAAAAATCGAAAGGGTACTTGGGTTTCGATATCGGTCTTTACTTCGTCCACAGCATCCGCTTCATCACTCTCGATTTCCGCCGTTCTCTCTTCCCTTGTCGGCTGGGCATCCGAACATCCACCTAGCTGCGCTCCGACATGTACCTGATCAAAAGATCATGATGTCGAAATCGAAAAATCGAATACACATATGGGGTTCTTCCATAAAATGCCTAGGCATTGCAGTACTAATAGTAATAGCTACGTGCATATGCCAGTGTCTCGACTCAAACACGATCTGTGTGTTAATGAGTTTAGCCAAGAAAGCAAATGACGTCAAAGGTTTCCCCTAAGCAGCAAACTCAGACCGCAATTACATCTTCAGTCTTCAACCTCATCGTCTTCAAGCCAATACCATAAGCAGCAATCAACAACGCCTCTGCTCTTCCTGCCAAAACTCATAACACATAAGAAAAAGAAACACAATTCAGTCATGGAACATGGCCGGTAGAATGTTTTTTTTAGAGCAAGATGTAGTGACTGACTGACCATGGTCTTTTTTCCGGCTCAGTTGGGGAGAGAGCAACGGGAACAATTCCGATGCAACTCTCCTGCTGTCATCCTGCAACATAAACAACTCCGGCAAAAAACAATCATGCCCGTTTCCCGACTTGTCAAAGCGAAGAAACATCATAGAAAACCTTACCTTGGTAGAGCTGCCTCCAGCGAGTTGGAATTGGTTCTTCCATAAGGAAGACGAGATCGGGATAACAGGAAAACCTGATGCAACGAGTATCCCGAGCCATAGTCCATACCCAAATCCTCCACTATACCAACCCTTTGAATTCCAAATACATGAAAAAACCATCAGGAGAGCAATACAAAAAATCCAGTTTCACGGATAACAGAGAGGGATGCAATGGTAAAACAACTACAATGGTGAGGATTTAAGTAAAGACAGAGAACATGACAAGAATTTTCACCAGCTTCCCATCTTTAGGAAAGGGAGTTGACTGCTCCATATATGCTGTAGTTCCTGTTATAGATCAGGCATTCTGAATTAGCCATATGATATCCAGACATGTAGATACATTAAAATGGATGCAAGATTGGGTATCATAGTCAAACAGGCTTGTTCGCATGTATGGCGTAACGATTTTAGGAGAGAGGTGGATAGATTCAGTTACGTATGACAACAGATGAAGAGAAAAGCCCACGTCCATGAATATTGTCGGATCAAGAAGAACATCTCAAGCATCAGGGAAATCTACCCAAAATACAAATGCAGTTTAAGGACAGGATTTCAACTTTACAAATGACAAATGCAGTTTAAGGACAAGACATTGAGAGAAACAATACTTACCAGGAGGGACATCTAAACCCCGAATCAACTGCACAATAGACCTGGCATCTGGGCGCTTCCGCACTTGTTTCCCGACTAAAACTGACAAGTGAGGAGTATCAAATACCTATCAGATTAAAGAAGACAAGTTTCATATGCTTTCTACATGCGAAACGTTCTCATCGGGTTATTCACAATGTACAAAAAAATAGGAATGAATCTGTGTTTTCTTAATTTCAAGTAGGAACAAGTGGAAACACTGAAACTAGCTGAAGATTTTGATTGTGCAAGAAGGGTGCTTCTTTTCAGTTCTATGATCAATCGATGAGGTAAACATGACATATCATCTGAAAGCACAAGCAATTATATACTGCTCTGATGAGAGAACCATGGGTAAGAAATTTGGAATTTTTTTTACCAAGTATACAACAATGATACATGGAAATGCTTCAACAATTGTGCAGAATTCATGAATTCATGGAGGGTTTCCTTCATAATTTCCTCTCAATCCCTTTGAAATGCCTTCGACCCACAATTTATAACCTTTCATAGAACTTCAGTTCACAGTTTCTAATAGAACTCTCTATCGATGAACCACAGAACACCAACAGGCATTAAACCCTAAAATTTCCGCCCAAATTCCATCAACCCTCGTTGAATTTTTTGTCACTGTCAAACAATGGAACAACACAGAGACCAGAATTTCGAAAGAAAGAACATTTCACCTGAGCGGAACAACCCGTCTCGTCAGTTCTCAGTAGCGCCAAGGCACCGGACGAATCGGGGTCGACACCGATGACCCAGTTGGAACTCGATTGCTCCCCGGTCGGGTCATTATCACTTCCAAGACACACGGAGCTCAAATCTGTCGAAGGGAGAGAGAGGGAATCCAACCAGTTCTTCTTGAGCAACGCAGCGTCAACGGCTTTCACGCGGCTCCTCCTGGGGAGCGCGGCGGTCGGAGAGAGCATCCGCCGCCGCCGTGGTGCTACGGTGGCGGACGGCGGTTGAGTGGAGAAGACGGCGGAGAGGCGGAGGGAGAGAGAAGGTCGGAGCTTCGAGGATAAAGAATACATGAGATAGGTTTGTAGCGGCGACGACGGAGCGCACGCCGTTTCCATTGCCTGAAAATATATAGCAGAAGTGAAACATCAACGGAACAATGTTGCTTACATTTGTGTTTTTAAATTTAAAATTTAGATTTTCATCATTTCTGGATTCGTATTCGTCTTACAATTTAATAGGTTGAAAATTATATGGGGTGGGTGAACCATAAAATCTAATTAATCCAATTAGTTTATATATATATATTCAGTTTTTATATAAGATTTGATTTCTATCAGAATTTGTTTCCGTTCCGAATCAATTTGGATCGATTTTGTTTCATTTCGATTAGTTTTGGTTCGTAATCGATCTCGATCAATTCGTTTCTATTCAATTTGTTCAGATTCAAATTCGTTTGGAATCAATTTGTTTCTATTTGAATGGATGGATTCAAATTTTTAAAAAATATATATATTTTAAAAATTAAGATGACGATTGGAGACCCTTCTTCCAAATGTTTAATATACATGGACCCTCGTTTCTAGCTAGGTAAATATTTATACATTATAATATAAGTTGTCAGAAGAATAATACGTTCCAAATTTTATTACTCGGTGGTATTCCAAATTCTAAATGCTTCGTTAGAATATTCTTCAATATGAGATAGAGAACAATAAGTTCAAAAATGATAACAAAACTTACAATATTACTATTTTTACATGACGTTATTTCCGATTCATTTACATGTATGTTATATATACTATATATATATAAGCATATAAACCAGCTCGCAAATTAAAATTGAACAAACCCTTTTATTACACACACTTTACTTACAGTATATGTGCACACTAGAGAGAGATAAAAAAAAACAACAACAAACATACAAACATATAAATTAATATTCGATTACAGAGAAATTTTTTCATGCACATATAAGTAAACAATGAAAGCAACAAATAATTATATATGTACATATATTTGGATCATAAAATCTGGTTTGTACGGATATATATACATACGCACGTAATCTTCGATTATATTTTAATCTTTTGAATTAAAGTTTTTAAAGAGTTCAATTTGTTTTTTTAACGTTTTAGTTCATCCGTTACTCAAATGACCTCGATTGATGTCTTCGCTTTCAACAATCTCATGGATCCTTACATCCTCGTCAACGGTCACCGTCACCGTTTGTTCGCCGCACGGTCCGGTCGTGATGACCTCTTCCACGTGACGGTGTTCCTCTTCCTCGATACATGTCTCTGAAACATGATCCGAACCAGGGTCGTGCCTTTCCTTCCTCTTCTTGTAAGCTACAAAGAGGAGCCCCGCTGCTAGGAACGCCAGGAAGAAAAGCCCGCCAAGGGAAACGAACACTGCTATGTACACTGTATGGCCGGAAGGCGGCGGAGGAGGTGGCAGAGGAGGAGGTGGCGGCGGAGGTAGAATCGGCGGCGGTGGAGGACGCGGTGGCGGCGGAGGAGGAGAAGGGCAGTAGCAGTCACAAGGAGGCGGAGGAGGACAGCGTGGAGGAGGTGGCGGCGGAGGAGGACAGCGTGGAGGAGGTGGCGGCGGCCATGTTGGATAAGCCATGTTACGTGGGAGGGCCATTTGGTTGTATGAAACAAAATTTGTATGATAAATATATACACACACATGCATGCACATATATATATATATACACACATGTGTAGGGTAGTGTGATTGGGTAACTTGTTGACTCAGCTTAAGATTTGTAAGGTTTCAACTAGTGTAGAAATCATGTTTGCATGATCAGACACTCTTGCCGAATGTTGTCATATTGATTAATAATATTCAAATATTAATTATTTTTATTTTTATTTAAGATTTATTTTTAACCTTAATATACGAAAGTAAAATAATTTTTATATATAATTCATGCTTCATAATTTTATAATCAAACGCAATTCTAATTAACTGTCATTGTTCAGACTTCAGAGTGTAGTCCGTCGACTTTATTTTTAGTTATCAATATCACCCATAAAAAAAATATCTTCCAGTTATAAATTATTAATAAAGGGGTATTATTTTGTATTTTTTGGGTATTTTGTGTTTTGTACGTATCTATTGTTTAGAGAATTTGGGAAATAATAAGTTCAATTGTTTCATGTACTACACCGTATATTGTTTCGGTTAATTTCTATATTGGGTATTATAAACAATAATTAGGATCCAATAAATATGCAGATGATGTGACAAAAGTATTATATTTTTCATTGTTTTGTAAAGATCTTATATACGTATATTAATAAAAACTTAGCTTATCTCTATCCTAGTTCTGATCAACTTAAAATAATTTAAATTACAAGTGGTAGTTTCCTTGCACGAGGTGGAAAGAATATTTAATATATATAAAAAACAAACAAATCTAAAAATAATTTATAAATCAAAGTTTAACTAGTATACTTCTAACGGAGGTGGAAGTTTTTAATACTTAGTTCGACCAAATAATAATCGCCCTATTGTAATATTTATTACATTAATTTCTATAACGGACTTTGATTTACAATCAAATATATTCACACTTGTTAAATTCTAATTTATATAGATATTTTTATTGATAAAAATATATCGAGTCATTTTGCATAATCAACCGCCAATAACGGAGAGAAGACTCGTAATCCATTTGTATCGCACGCAACGGGATGGCGATGATGATGATGTACCCATTGTTAAATAGTTCTCAAACCATATCTTAATTTCAAGTGACAAATATTTTGTATAGGGCAGACCAAAAAACATGTAAAAAAGAATATGACATGCGTATGTTATAACACGAATACACGTCTCTTGACTGTTTCTTGCTCGTGCCTAGGAATAATGTTCAATCGAATTTTGTATATGTATTTCCTTTGGAAAGTTAATGCTGACGTTTTTTGGCTAATCTTTTCACATTTTCCAACTCATAGGAATTAGTAATTGTGGATATTTTGGATATCGGTTCACAGATACAAGAGTGAGCTTATTTTAATTATTATATATATATATATAACCGCATTATATCAAAAATACCCTCTATTTACTATTTTGACTTCAAGACATACCATATATGTCCATGTGACCCGAAATATAATTTTGGTCACATTGATCATAACATTCAATTTTTAATATTTTAATCAAATGATTAGTGAGATATATAAGGTATGAATATAATGAATAAATGTGATCATGATAAATTTAACGTTATGACCAATGTGACCAAGATTATATTTCGGGTCACATGAATCACAGTTGAAGAAAGATATATGTATTGAAGTCAAAATAACAAATGGAGAGTATTTTTGATAATGCCTCAATTTAACATAATGTGGTAATGTGAGAGGGACCATATCATAAATAGGACACCGATCAATAATATATCGATAAATAACAATTTCTTTTTACATATACAACCATTGATTTTGTAGTAGGAAGAAGAGAAGAAAAGAGAACAAATAATTTTAAATAAAGTGAACCCCTAACCCAAGCTTCACCGGCTCTCTTCATATCTGCGGCAGTGAAACTCGGGTGGGTTTTCTTCCTCCATGAAGAAAGATGGACCATTCTTCTCCTTCCCCTTCTCCTTCAACTACAGCCTACTAAGCCGTGTTAATCTATTTGCTTTCAACTTCTTCTTCGATGTTAAAAAACGTTTCTTGAAACCTCTTCTTCCTATTCCAAGACGGAGACAGGCCAGAGGCGTTTCCATGTACAGATCTCTTCTTGGCTCTTCAGCTTCCTGATTCCTCCGTAGAAGCCGTCGGCTTCGTTCCCTTCCTCCCTGTGATCTCTCCGGTTGACAGTGGTCCGTCTCCACCTCGATCCAAGCGTGTACTGATTGAATTCCAATACCACCGTCTCTGTTTTCACCAAACGTGACCAACGTTAACTCCTCCGAAACTTTGTACCCTTTCTCATACAAAAGGATATTAACCTCGACCCTCAACTAAGTTCAATCATAAAGGACCAACAGGGATGTAAAGGATCAAACTTTGAATACGAAATCCTCCTCTAAGATGGTAAAGGTATTAGAATATATGGCCAGTTAAGGCAGGTTTGGTTCGGTTTGATATGTTGTCTTTTTCCTGAGAGTTTTGCATTAACTTATGTTTCTCCATCATTTGAATTCCTACGAATTCATGATTTAGAAACCTGGGTTCAACACTCAAGAAAGACAGAGAATTCAATCAAAGAAAACAAAAGGCGACGAACAGAACAGAAAACCGAAGAGGTGAGATCACCATCGGAGAAAGATTTGTTCTCAGAAGAACTCACTCAAACCTCAACCAAATCAAACCACAATTAACCACCGCTAAACCCAATCAAACCGGCCTTAACCGGCCAGACATTCTGATGGAAAGAGGGAAAAAAAAACAATTACAACAAGGGTCAAGTTCTCATCAAACGAGATGAAGTTATGCGATGGTTCAATCATGATGCAAGTTGCAAAGGACAATGACCCATCTTTCTTCTCCTTCTCGTCGACCGAAAAAGACCAAACAGAGAATCTAAAAATCTTATCCTTTTCTCTTAATTCTTTTTCTTTTTTTGTGGTGATGCAATGTGGCGGGTCACTCGGACACCATAAGGCCACAAGGAAAGGAAAGATTTTTGGACAGACTCTTAGCAAAGCTCATAGACAAGAGTCTTTGTTTCAGCCCCACCATAATGGCTAAGAAATACCAAAGATGTGGAGGCGAAACGAGAGAATAGGAGAATGATTTCACAAGCTTTGGCCAGTAGATGGGGAAAGGCATGATTTCACAAGAGACATAAGCCATCAACATGTCGAAGAAAATGAAGACAAAGCAATGGCGATTTGTCTCCGGGGACCAAAACTCTAATGAAGAATTGGTCCACACCACAGAAAAGGACAAAACCGAATGGCTTTCTATAACGACAGAGAAAAAAAAAATCTATGATCACATATCTTTGTGGAATATTGCAAGAGCATCAATCATCATCCATCAAGATGGGGAATTTATCCGCGTGATGATGCTTGAGATCGTAATCAAAATCCATTCAAGAGATACTCTTCTCTTTTATTTTCCTTCTCTTCCTTTTAGCGTTTGAGGAAATTAGTAAAGCAAGGAATATGACAGGCAAGTTGTTTCAGACAGATGTCTTATATTCCTTATTTTCATCAATGGTTTCTCAGGGATCATTCATTGAAAAGATTAAAGCATCATCAAAGCATCCTTTTTTTTACGAAATAATTTCGAAAGGATCTTAAAGAAAGGATGTGAATATTAAGAACTCACCGTTAAGATGGCAATGGCAGTGATTCTCATTCCCATCACACGAATCCAGATGTCCAACGACACCATACCACCATCCTACAGAACATATACATGTTCTTTGGTTTAGAATCGGTTCTTGTCTGAATATAGCATCTAAAGACAACCAAAAATATCGATGAGAAACAGGAAGGGAATCGAAATCATACCATAAGGGAACTCTTTGTTCCGTCTCCATTGGATCTCGATGTGATCTCCGGGCTTTAACTCGTTCAGACAATCCGAGACATGAAGATGATGAGGAGATGCATCAATTGGTTGTGCTCTTAGTCTCTCCCATGTCACACCCTTTTCTACTGCAACCGCTCTCCTACCGTGCGGTGGATACCTGCAAAAACCAGAATCAAGAAACCCAAAAAGAAAATTTCAAGAATTTAACATCTCAATCACGGAACAAGAATCATGGAATAACCTTAAAATACTGCGTTCCTATACTCTTAGATACCAGACGATGATCATGGCAAACATGGGAAATAATGGAAATTACCTGGCTTGGAATGTATCGCTGTGAGGATCGTAGCTGAGCTCGGCATCATAGCATGATAACATGAACCCTACATGCCCATTCTGCACAACAATCGGAGCATGATTTACTCAACAAATCCAGAAAGTATGAAAATTTCGAGAAATCTGGAACTTGGGCAACAAGCAAAGTTTCTATGAATACCTCGCGATTGTACACCTGCGCCGGGAACCAAAACCGGCCGGTTTCAAGGGCGAGGTACCAGTTCATGATGGAATCAACAGGCAAAGAAGATGAAGAGTTGCTCTGTCTTTGCTGCTTGTTTTCATCTCCAAAACCATCGAAATTGAGGCTGTTCACGACTTTGGATCGGAAAAGCGAGGAAATCGACCGAATCAAAGAGACCAATTTGACAAACCCTCGATGCCCAGCTTGTTTGTCCACACACCCAAGATCGTTCCCCGAAGCGATATACCATTGCCACTCTCTATGAGCAGCAGGGCCGAGGATTTTGCCCCATTTCATCTTCAGATGTTTCTCCCAAAGATGATCGCTCACGCATCTCTCTCTCAAGGAGCTGCAAACACCGGCCATGCTGCAGAGCCCAGACGGAGGAAGCCGATCGAGAATGCACTCGAGGGCAAGGTCGGGGAGGTCAAGAACCGACATTTCTCCGGGGGCCGGGGAGACAACCTCGGATGCCGTCGGTGGTTTAGGGTTTCTGGGCATCGTCTTCTTGGCGGGTTTAAAGCTGGATCCGAGAGAGGGTCTGTTGTTGAACCAGAAGGAGAGGAGAGTTCTGGCTTCACATGCCCACGGAGGAAGAGGCTTGAGAGAGAGAGATTTTGAGAAGAGGAAGAAGGAGAGGCAAGTGATGAGGAAGTACAGTAGCATTTAGAGAAGAAGAAGAGGAAAGGTAATTTCTTGGCTCCCTTCTTCTTCGTCGATGGTGAAGGAAAAGGTGAGAGATGGATCATAAATGGAGGGGAAATTATAAAAAGAAGACGATAATAGAATAATATGGCCAATGGAATTTTGGATCTACCAACCAACCAAACCTAACCTAAATAATAAACAATCTCCTTGGAAATCTTCCTGAAAATGATTTCGAAATTTAGTATTGTTTTTTATTTATTCTATTCCTGCTTAAATTTGGTTTGAAAATTAATAAAATTGTGAATTATTTTAGGAGAAACCCTCAAAAACCCAGATGTGGGCCTCTTCTTCGAGGGTTTCAAACAAAACAAAAACGTGAAAATTGTAATATTTTCAGTATTTATTCAGAAACAGAAATTGTCCTAATAACCAATAAAAACCTGAAATCTTACAATGATTCATGAGACAGTCCAAAAGGATAGAATAGTAAATCATTACGACGAGGAATCAGAAAGAGGTCCAGATACAAAGACCCATCCCCCCCTTCTTTACTTTTATATTTTTCTTTCCAAGAACACAATCATTTCTTGGAATTTTCAAAAATATTTTTGGATTAAAATAAAAATACTATCGTTGGGCCTTCCGGACATCGTAGGTTCGGTTCAATGAACCCAAAGAAATATCAATAAAGAAAATAAAAAAAAAACTATATGATATATTATTTTTTTGCGATAAATAATAAAAGATGATAAATCCAAGAGGAAGAGGAGATGAAAGAACGTGAAGAGTGTGGGCGTTGTCTCCTTCGTCGTCCCCTCACTTTCCTTCACGTAAAAGATTTTGTTCTTCCTCCTCGGAATATTAAAAGAACAAAAGAAAGAAAAAAAAAAGATTCTAAGCCACTTTTTTTTTTGTAATGAGCAAAATTATTTATTTGGTACATGTGATCTTATACCTATTTTTAATTTCATATGGAAAAATAGTAAAGAGACTTGGATGAGACGAGAGGTCACGGTCTATTTGCCATTTTACTATCAAATCAGATGGAAGAGAAATGCGGTAATTATAAATAAAAATAAATAAATAAATTACAATTGCAAGATTTAATGAGTAAAAATAGGATGGATATCAATAAAAAAAATAAATTATTGTAGGTCATTTATAAAATTTAACGAGTCTTTATGCGTTTGCTATTTTCTCTAAGAAATAACATTTTTTTTCTATATTTACATATTCAGAAAATGATATAATCTTTCAAAATTATCATTGATGCAAGATTATGTCGCTATTTGGATGTGTGTATATATATATATGTTATGTATTGTACTAGACAGAGACATGCATGGGTCATGCAATATATATATATATATATATAAGCCCAAGTGGTGATTTTATAAAAGTTAAAAATGTGCACACAAAATACAACTATATTTGACAAGTGGGACTTGTTAATCCTAATTTATTATTAGGATTTGGCCCGAGTACTTTGAAAGAAGATAATAGTAGGCAAGATACCGTTCAGATACCATATCTTAAGAAAAAAAAGGAATATTCCTTGGTTAAATGAAAACCATAGAGGATATATCTTAAATTTCTTGTTGCAGATTAGGGCATTACATATATATATATATATATTAATGTTATACTTTCTTTAGATGAACTCATGATGGAGAGATCCAACAATCCTTAAAGTTTGTCCCTTAAGCCTTTCCTTTCTTCCTACTCCACCCCTTTTTTTATGGTGGATCATTGCACATTATCCATTTCATTTACTAATATATATATATATATATATA